GCATTAAAACTTACATTAAGGCTTTTGAAATTGTAAACCAATATGTTTTATAGCAAAGAAAGGTTAAGAAAAAGAAATGGGTACATCAAGACTTACAGCTCTCACACACAATGCTGTCAGCGATGATATTTGTTCTTAGAATGTAGCTTGTTGGTCTTCACACAAGAACCTCATCAGTTTTCATCAATGGACTAAGTAATTCTGTGTCTTTTTCAAATGGGAAAACAGAGGCTTTCAGTGTCCTAGTCACTGACACAGAAAAAATTTAAGCCAATGTCCATCTTGATACGTGATGAGGAAAATCTGACTGGCAGTTTTCTGCTCCAACAGTCACTGCTTGTTTTCACTAGTGTTGCACATAACCTCTAATATTAAACAGTGCACACTAAATTTATTTGTGTGATGAACTTAATAATGTAGAACTTAGGGCTGAGTCCTTCAGGCTTTAGTCATAAAAATAGTCATTAATAGCAAGGAATGGGAAAACCTATGCGCTTAAGGATTTAGGAATTAGACTGGGGCAGGGGGGTGGGCCAGCTATTACAGAGTAACTCTGAAATTTCACATTCTCCTTCTTGTTCTCACATGTATTTCCCTGCATAGACAAATTCAATAGTTACACAGATTTGTTCCTGTTTGTGCATGTGGATAGGTTTTCACATATTTTTTCAGTGGTTTTTGAAACATTATTTGAAAATTAGTGTAGCAAAGGTAGTTTCCAATGTTGGCATTGGCATTCATTATGATGCAGGTACTGTTGTTTGTATAGTATGACTTATTCATTAGAGAAGTGCAGGGTGTGACAAAAAGATTCCTGTAGCAAAAATGCAAATGAGATATGAAATGCAAGAAAAAGTGTTGGAATAGAAAAGTGAAGCTTAGCAAACGTATATTGGTTCCTTATCTGAGGTTTGGATTTTACAAAACTTATTTTACTGTTTCAGAGGAGGAATGTCTAGAAATTACATGTCTATTATAAATCTCTTTTTTTGAGGCTTGTCAGTCAAATGCTTTTCATATATACTGACATTCAGTTTTTAAATCATTCAGAATATTTCCTGAACTCTATAGCAAATGAGGTAAATTTGTAAGAGGAACAAGCTTAAGCAAAGCATTTCCTCATCAGTTCCCATTTGTGATCAGTTCTAAATACAGTTATTTAAATAAATGTTTAATATTGGAAAAATCTGGTTCACTAACCCTTAAGATTCATTCCTAATTAGTTCATATTCCTCCTACAGAGCACATGAATTTACTTGTACTGAGTGCGCCGCCCTCTTTGTGACATGACTGTTCCTAAATGTCATTGTCACTGTAAGCTACACTACTGTGGTTGCATATGCTGCAATAAATGAGTGTTTAACAGAACACATGCAATGCAGTATGTAGCATATAATTGGTATTATTTTGCTACTTTGCTTTGTTGAAGAAGCTTGTGGAAAAAAAAAAAATCAAATACTAAGGCATCTGAAATCTTAGCGTAGATCTGACAAGTTGTAGATTTAATGTCTGATTGTTCATCAAAGTACATTATGAGTTCCCTCAAAGAATTTTGTTCAAGAAATTTATAAACATCAGCTTTTCTTTAATATTACAGGATTTTGAGGGGTTACTTCATATACTTTTTAAATGTTCTTTTTTCCTGGTTTAAAAATGACTTCATGAAAATTTTTGCACGGGCTTTCCAACATTCAAAATACAGTGTATTAGGATCATTGCAGCTGACTGCATTGCTAGAGCTATACATTTACATGTAAAAAGCCAAAATCTGGAGTACATTCAAAATTTTCAAGATTACAAAATTTTAAGTTAGTTTTGTTTCTCTGATTTTACTGATTTACAGTTAGTATTTTGGCAGTGCATTAAGGCAACAAAGTGAATAGGTGTTAAATCCTGTTGAGTCTCTAGAATAAAAAGTATTCAATAGGTTTTAACTGAAGACAGCTTTAAAAAACCCCTTTCTTCTCTGGAGGCTAATAAGTAAGCAGTTTACAGCTTCACTTTCTCTTTTCATTTCATTTGACATCATATATGCAGCCAAGGAGTAGGTATTTATCCATTCCAACAAAAGATGTTGTGTTAATCTCAGTAGAGAATCTGCCTGGAAAAACAGTGAGGTAGCTTGAGCCATCCTGTGCGATGGTCCATGTACAATAAATAGGGGTTTATGGACTTCTCGGTATCAGCTAGTGTATGTATATCTTCCTGAATTGTATCGGCATGGAGAATAAGATTGGTATCTGTGGAATCCTTACGTAAAAGAGGAATCTATTCTTCTGTATATGCCACTAAAGATATAATTCATTCCATACTTCTAAGAGAGACTGGAGTCATAATAATAGGGTAAATTCTATGCTATGTGCTCAGAGTAGTAAAAAAAAAAAAAAAAAAGTGTTTTATGAAACACAATGAGGGTCTCGCCTCCTTGTAATTAGGTGTTAGCATCTTCAGGGTAGTGAAAAATATTATATTATAAAGCATAATATGCAAAACGGTTTTGGCAGTCTGTATAATTAACTAATTTTCCATGTTAGAGGAGTCTCATACAGGAGATCTTGTGACACAGCTGTTCTACCTGCCTTCTGTTCCCGTTTTATTGGTGTTAAGGTACATTGTGTGTGCTGTTAAATACTGGCAGTGTTTGTAATGATGCAACCTTCCAGCAACAAAAAGTACATTTCAGCCTGCTGCTTTATGGACAATTGTTGTGGTTCTCGCATTTCAGAGCAGTAGGTCTTACTGACTTTGGTGTAAGTCATTTGATGGTTTCTTTGTTTGCTTCTCATCTCATTTAATGCTTCCCCTAGTTTTCCCCAAACCAATATTCGATTCATGTTGAAAGTACTGTAGATGTTAATTTACCTGGGTGATGTCTCAGGGATACTTTTACTGCCTTAGTACCATGCCGCAGTTAGGGTGCAAATCTAGGTTTTGTAACTAATGTCAGCGAGGAGCAACCCAGTGAAGGGTGGTTCAGAGCAAGAGCTTGACATGGCGATCAGAGGTTATATCTACAGTGTGAAGCTATGTACTGTGGAAACCAGAGGTGCTTCCCAGACTTGGTTTGCATATGGATGCCAGATGACTTTTGACTTCATGCTGGGATGAGGCAAATTCTGGCCTGTACACTGATTTGAGAGTAAGGGTACCAAACCTCTCAAGCTGGAAGGGAGCTGTGTTGCGCTTAAACAGGTTGTCTGACAGGCACGTTATGGGCACCAGGCTTGTGGGCCGCTGTAAATCTCACTTACCCTGAAATTTAAATGTATCCTACATCGCCGTCTATAAAAACCTGTCTGCTTCACTACTGTACAGTGAGCTTCAAGAGGCAAACCTCACTACTGGGGCGTTTAGATAGGTGGTGAGATTTTTTAGGCCTTCACCTCCTGTTGGATTAGAAGGTCAGCTGCTGTAATCCTCTTGTCTTTATTGCTGAATTATTTTAGCACAAAATTCCTCTGTATTATATCATACAGTAATACTGATAAAACCAAAGCTGCTCCAAACTTCAAACAGGAAATGATAACATAGAAGGTGAGGAAAATTAATTGCATTTCTGTCAACTGCCTGTGATGCAAGACTGGGACAAATTAATCTCCAGTGACCTGTTTGCTCCATTGATTTCTTTGGTGTTATATTAAGAATGAACATGATCCATTATCCATTGCATTACTAGGAAATAAAAAAGAACTATGATTAAATATACCCTCATAATGAGTTGTAATATTGCTTTGTTATAAACATGAAAAAATAGACTCTTCTATTGTGGCTATTAGAGCACATCAAATCTCACATGAAGTCTGCTTTCAGCAAAGGAGTTATTCTTCCACTTTATGACAAAACTACGTCTCTTTGAAATATTAGTTCATCCAAGCTGAACAACAAAAACAAGGTGTTTTGATTTTGGGAGCCAGAAACCTTTGCTTTCTCTTGATTTGTTACAGTATTTCTACCTTTTAAAGAGAAGTGTTTAATTTGTTAGGTTCATCTCTTCAAATCCATTTTTGTACAGAACAGAAGTAATAGATCAAGTTGTTGTACATTCATCTTTTTTCAGAATTACCCCAGAAGTAAATTATTAAACCTAAACTAATTTCGAGAATTTTGTAGTCTGATCGCCATTTTAGTGAATTAGCAGGTGTAAATATTAGTAATATGTGAATGCTGACAAGCTCATGAAAGCTAGAGAGTGTCTATTTCATTTATTTCAGCTGTACCAATTTTAACCTTTTTGTTTCTAAGAGATATTTTGTGATCATTAAAGTACTGACCGGCTGAGAGCCATAGTTCCACAAACTGGGATGTATTTAAGAAGGCAGAGTTTAATGATGTCACTTTGCTAGTCAAAATTCCTCGAACATCATCTGTTTGCAGATTTTTCAGTATTATCATTGTTGTGTTTGCCGATGTAAAGACATATGTTATGGACTTTAAGTAGAAGCTGACACAGTGCTAACAGCACTGTGGAATTCTGCAAGGCCTGGGGGAGAGGAGAGAAAATACAGTAACTCGGTGTAACAACCGTCAGCTGTGAGGAAGTAGCAGCATTGCTCAACCAGCCACACCGCTGTAGGGATTTTTCCTTCACACAGCTCCTTGTATTTTTCAGACTGAGAGAGTGGAATTTCTGTGACGTACTTCACACGAGGCAAAATATGCTGATAGGTTGAAATGTGACAGTAACAGTACATCCATGGGTTGTGTGTATTTTATAGACACATAGGCAGTAGCTGCTGTTTCTTTGCTTGTTTTAGGGAGCAGAAGGTTTTCCCATTGTATCATTAGTGGCAGAAAGCATCTAGTGTTACAGTCCTGCACCAGAAGTGTTAAGTAGTTAAACAACATGGTGGCAAAGCATGGTTACATGATACATTAATATTAAATATTAAAAAATGTAAAGAAGGGGACCAGCCACTCTTTGTGCTTCTGTCTGAGGGGAAGGGAGATGGGATGTAATGCTGGTGAGCCTTTATAATATCTGAAGTCTTCTCTCTTTTCAGCGCAATCCTCCCTTGCTGGTGAATGATCTGTTTGAAGATATCAAGGATGGCGTAATGCTAATTGCCCTTTTGGAGGTTCTTTCTGGGCAGAAGCTGGTAAGAGTTTCCTTCCTTCCTTCTGTGATAGCTGCATGATTTCTCTAGGATATAATTTTCTAAGATGCTTCTGTATTTGAATACTGCAAGATACTTGACTGCTACATGGCAAAATAAGTTTATTCACAGAATGGGCTCTCTGGTTACAAAACAAAATAAAGTTTATTATATACTGACACTTGATTTTAGGCATTTTCTATTAATTTTGTCTTACTAGTTCATAAAAATTGCTTATTTGTATTAGTCTTTGCAGTTCATCTGGGTAGTACTCCTATGACACAAACACGGTCTAAACTGCAAGCTGCTTCTATACATCTTGAAGAAATAATGACAGTTTTTTCTTAGTCAGTTTAGGGCTTTCTCTCTGAAAAAAAATTGTGACCCCCTCAAATTTCATGGGGTTTTATATCCATTTACCTTGACAGCTGCTCTGCTACTGTAAAAAACCTTAACTGGTGCCAAATGGCTTTTTCATAGCCAAGTTGTGTACAGAGGCCACGGTGCATACATGGCAAATAGGCTGTCTCTTGGGAGCCAGGATAGTTTTGTGTATGTGACGTGGGAGAAAAATGAAAGGGTTTTAGGCCAAGGGCTCTCACTTTTTCCAAACCAGCTCGCAGATCGGGTGGCAGCATCTAAAAGAGTAGGGCCACAGTCTGTCATTCTGCTTGCTCTAGGGTTCAGACGTTACTTGTTCCTTCACAAATAGGCAATTTGCAAGTGCCACACTGTCGTGGTTTAACCCGGCTGGCAACTAAGCACCACGCAGCCGCTCACTCACTCCCCCCTCCTTCAGTGGGATGGGGGAGAGAATCGGGAAGGAAAAAAAAAAGGTTAGAGCTGTGGGCTGAGATAAAGACAGTTTAATAAGGGAAAATAATAATAATAGTAATAATGCAAATGGTAACAGAATATACAGAATATGCAAAACGAATGATGCACAATGCAATTGCTCACCACCCACTGACCGATGCCCAGCCCGCCCCAAGCTGTGATTTGCTCACCACCCACTGACCGATGCCCAGCCCGCTCCAAGCTGTGATCAGTCCCCGAGCAGCGATCGCTCTCCCCGCAACCGACTGACCAACTAACCCCCCCCCCGAGCATGACGTTCTATGGTATGGAATAGCCCTTTGGTCAGTTTGGGTTAGCTGTCCTAGCTGTGCTCCCTCCCAGCTTGTTATGCACCTGGCCGAGCAGGAGAAGCTCAAAAAGTCCTTGAGTAGTCTAAGCACTACTTAGCAACAACTAAAAACATCAGTGTGTTATCAACATTCTTGTAGTACTAAATCCAAACCACAGCACTATGCTAGCTTCTATGAAGAAAATTAACTCTATCCCAGCCGAATCCAGGACACACACTTCTGCCTTTTTCATATTTCACCTCTGTTTTGATTGCAGGTGATACTGCAAATTAGGTGGTAGTTCAGACTGCAAAACTGATTTTACTGTCAGATGGGAAAAAAGCTATACCTTCAAGTTTGTTTCTGCTCTGTTGAAATATACCCATTTCTGTTTCTGTTCGTCTAAGACAGAAAGTCTCCCTCTTGTGGCAAAACAGAAGTAGTAAAACAGGAAAAGAATTTTAATGACAGCACCTGTTACAGCAACTTCATTGGATTGTATCCTGCCTACATTAATTAGTGAAAGAGAGGAGATATGACAGAATCAGAATAATGTCTGGTTGATTAAAAGGTCTTGTATAGCAGAATATGGTAGTCTGTTGTAACTGCAAAAGGAATTTTGGAATCTATAGCAGGCCTTAAATCCATTTGGAAATTTATGAGCATGAATTTAAATGATAGTAGCAGTATATTTGCATTACAATATAAGATTCAGTGGGGAATTTAATTCCACTGTAGCGTATTAGAAGCCTAGGATGTGTTCTTGATTTAATTCAAAGAACTCTGTCTTTTTTTAGCCTGCATGTCTGAAGTTCAGCAAAATTCATAGTTCAATGAGGGTTTGTGATAGGTGGGGTTTTTATTACTAGCGAGGTATTAGAGAGAATGGATAAAAATCCTCTAGGTAGAAGTCTTCACCGCAGACTGATTTTTTTTTTTTAAAATAACAATGACCTTGACTTCTCCTGTGCAAGCAAAAATATTTTACTGAGAGAAATGTCGCCTTTTCTCAAATATATATATATGTGTGTGTGTATAAAAAGAGAAGCAGTTTATCTTACGTAAGCAAAACGGTTCTCTGATTTGATGAAGTTTATGGGCTGAAGCCGACAGCTCGCATCCTGAGGTTATTAAGACATCCTATAACTCTTTTGTACTAGAACTGTCACAGTTATGTCCCCTATACCTGTTGGTCCTCCCTGTTAGCATATGCAAAAATAGAATTTGACTGTTCTAAGGAACATTTTAACATGTAAACTAGACTAAATTATGTACATAGGCATTTGTAATGACCTGGAACTTCATTTTTTGCAGCAAAGTGGCATAAATTTAATTGGCGTTTATGCTGTTCTTTCTCTTTAAGCCTTGTGAGCAGGGACGTCAACTGAAGAGAATTCACTGGGTTGCCAACATTGGCACAGCTCTTAAGTTTCTAGAAGGAAGACGGGTAGGTTTGATAGCACTTAGTCTTGTTTTTTCCTCATTTTTTTTTTCTTTTCTTAAATGTATGATTTGTATCCACCTCCCAGTTCTTATTCTCCAAAACTGGACCTATGTGTGCAGTCTTCAGTTTCTATACAGTGCCTAAAAGTTGCTGCAAAGTAAAAATGTCAAGTTCCAACACTGATATGTAACAATGTATAGGGTAAAACTTTTTTTTTTTCCTTTCAGTTAGAATCACTTTGGATGATCTCCTTCCATTTTTTTTTCTTTTTTTAATATGCTCTTCAGGTCCTCATGTTCCCTACTTTCCTGTTGCTGTTCTGAGCAATGAACAATGGTCTTCAGTTCAGTAGAGACATTATTTTATAATGAAAAGCATAGTTTTATGAACTTTGCTGGGTTGTACATGCAAAAGTCTACTCCCTGAAAGTATAGACATGAAAATTTAGAACAGCGTGACCGTTTATTAGCTTGACAGGACTTCAGACTAATTCCTGGACTGATTCTGGTAAATTCAGTGCTGTGGCCATTTTAGAAATTAAACCATATATTTTATAAATTTAACAAAAGACAGAAAGCCTAAAGGCTCAGTGTGATCTAGGTATGAATATCAAATATAAGCAATCTACTTTGACGTTTTTTCTTTACTTTTGTCTCTATATTGTAATGACTTGTATCTGTTTCTTTAGATTACAAATCTTTTGTTCTTCGAATTTCTGCATTTTAGTTCAATTTTTCTCAGTGCCGTAACACCTGATGAATTTTATGTCTCCACAATGCTGTACCACAGTGCAACCAGGAGCTGTTGGGTTTTGGCATTCTTTCCTTCTCTTTAACCCTGTAGCATCTTGACCTAATTGTATTTCTCTGACATGGGAAACAATCTTAGCAGATGCCTGTAGAAAAAAAATCTGTAAGAGAACTTCTTTTTAATTGAAAAATATATAGCTAAAGGAAATACAATTCTTTTCCCAAAGCAAAATTCAGCTTTAGCTCATGATTTCACTAGTTTATGTAGTACAGTTTGTTAATACAAATGATATCATATGCAGGCTGAGAGGGGATGCTTAGGTACAAAGACAGATTTTCTTTTAGAGGAAGTTGGAAATACCCGGTGTGTCAGGTAGATTGGCATGCATTAGCAGGTGGTCTCTAGGTTGAATCCAGCCTGAAGGATATATCTATCCAGGCTGTCACTCTTTTTCTCCCAGAAGAGGTGGGGATGCTGTTCAGACAACAAATGCCTCTTCAGAAGCTGAGTACAGTCCCTGCTCTCAGAGGTGGGCGAAAGGAGATGGGTGGCTGTGCACAGCACTTTGGGGAGTGCCAGCAGGGTGTCCTCCTTCCTTGGGCTCTCCCATAAGTTAAGTTTATTACACGTTTAATCAACTTCCTATTTTCACTCTCCAGACTTCTGCAAATACTCCTGTTATACTGCAAAATGCAGCTGGCAATTAACAGATATCACTCTGGACCAAACTGGTTTTTTGGTGGTTCTAAAAAGTTTATTTTGTAGTTTTAGATTCATTTTAATGGAGTATAAGACAAAGCACAATAACTAGACTAGGTAGGCTATGCTTCTGTGAACAGTAGCCTAATCAGAAGCTTTAGCTGAGTCCCTGTAAATCTTTTGATTTGTAATCTATATAAGAAAAACCTCGCTTTTAGAAAAATAAGAACTTTTGTGGGAATTAGTCCAGCTGAGAAAATGAGACTCGGTACATTTTTCTTTAGGTAGGTAGTAGAAAATTTTCCTGATTGACCAGCAGAGAAGCAAGTAATGTCAATTTTCAGAGAGTTTTGTCATATTTTTTGGTGGAGAGGATTGGAAATATAACCTGTGGGGATTTCTCCTCTGCCTCTTCCCACGAAGCCTGTGGATTTTTAATTCTGAAAAGAGCTTCACAGCCCTGAACAATAATTTTTTGTTTGCGCTTGACATTATTTAGCGGGTTTCCAGCTGCTTATTCAGAGAACTGCACACTTTTCTCTGTTTTGGGGAGACAAATGAGTCATTCTCCTGCTTTTCTTTAGTCTATTCTCCAAGGTTTTTCCATAACCTTTGTCCATGAACAAGCTTGCAGTGCATGAACACTTTTGCAGTCCTTCATATTTACATCAGGATTGATTAGCTTTGCTGAGGAAATAAGTATTAACGTATTTGCCAGTTTTCCAATACTACCCATTTTATTCCATTTTCTTGAGCATTATTTACCTGTAAGTTTCTTTATGATATACTCCTTATCCCCTCCTTTACTGCCTTTTATCTTGTGAGCTTATTTTAGGCTAATACTTTATTCAGACTATAGATTAGCACTTGGGAGTTAAAAGTGATGGACTGTGTTCCTGTTTCTGTTGAAAAACTTCATGTGAGCTTGGACAACTCTGATTTTTTCCGACTCTTTCATTATTTACCTGTAAGTTTCTTTATGATATACTCCTTATCCCCTCCTTTACTGCCTTTTATCTTGTGAGCTTATTTTAGGCTAATACTTTATTCAGACTATAGATTAGCACTTGGGAGTTAAAAGTGATGGACTGTGTTCCTGTTTCTGTTGAAAAACTTCATGTGAGCTCGGACAACTCTGATTTTTTCTGACTCTTATTTTAAAAGAACTGTAGTCAGGTTTGTCTTGCAAGGGAGCCTTCTTCAGAAGTGGTAATATCCTCTACAATAAAAAGCTCTCTACTGGAGAACTGTGGCATTCTTTTTTCTCTTATCTTTCTTTTATGCTTTCCCCCCCCTTTTTCCTTTTCTTTTTTATTCTTAAACTCACTTTTCTCTTTCCATTCCAAATCTATTAGAACTACAACAAGGAACCCCTACATAATTAAAAATCTGTTACAGAGTATTTAATTTGCTTCCCTTATTAATTGTGTTGTAATATGTGCCAAAAATGTTATTCTTTGCATTATAAAATTAAATTGATGCATTTACCTAGTAATTAAACTTGGTTTTGTTTCTTTCTTTTCCCTTTGCTTTTCATGCTAGTCCATATACAGAGGATCTCCGGTTTGTACAATGGATCTTTGTAATTTTTATTGTTCTTTCTGCTTGAAGTGAAATATTTTTTCTACAAATTATAGCATGCAATGGTCTCAAAAATCTTTCATTGCCTATAGCTATACTTGTCTAAAAAGTGAAATTCCACCATTCAATGATTTTTTTTAATTAAGAAACTTGTTATTTGATTGCAAAAATGCATTAAAATATAAAAACTATTTGAAATTAATTTAATAATTGTTATCATTCCTTGTGTGTGGTAACAACACATGTTTTCTTTCCTATATAGATTAAGCTTGTCAACATAAACTCAACTGATATTGCTGATGGCAGGCCTTCTATTGTGCTTGGCTTGGTGTGGACCATAATTTTATATTTTCAGGTACTCCATTTTTTTATACTTTAGTGTAGCTTGCTCAAATAATGGTTCAGGTCATCATTTCAAATGAACTGGTGAAGTTCCAGTTTTTCACTATAGCCAAGTCACTTCATACTTAGCTGAGGATCTGATCCTGAATAAAGCAACAGTTGATGCTTTGCTTTACATTGGTTAAAATTAGGTACTTGTCTTTGGAATAGGTTGATCTAGGCCTAGAATGGAGTTCCCTCGTCACTGGAACATATTCTTCCACTTTCTCTGAAGAATACAACAGAGCAATAGAAGAAAATTATAGAATTGTGGATTCTTGGTACAAGTACCTTTAACACCACCAGTGGTGCTTGTGCTGTGTGTCTAATTCCAGTGCATTTAATGTCAGACAGTAACTATTTTCAAACAATACATGTAAACGTGCTGATTTCAGTGGGAGATGCAGATACTTGCAAGGATAAAATGTAGCTGTGAATGGCGTAGCTTGAGAGGAGGTTGAATCTGTAGAGGAGAAGTCATTTGCATTCTGATGAAGTTAAGTGGGAGGGAAAGATGATTTTCTAAATCCTGTCCATATGAGTTAACAAATGAGTCACTGCTCAACAACTAAAAAAACAACTGATTTTGTTGCTCTGCTTTATGGAGTTCTTTGGCTTTGGCTCTGTTGTGATGCAGCTTTTATGTCTCAGGGATGCTGTTCTCCTAAGCACCATCCAGTGCAACACCTCAATAGTTCAGATCTCCTTCTCAAAAGAAAAGTTAGCCAGAATGATATCAACATTTTTATTCTAATAGAGATGAATGAGGAAAATTATGCTTCTCAGAGTTACTGAAACTCTAGTTCTCTGCATCAGTTTTATTTGGGTCATTTTTTGAGCTTTTCTTTAGTTGTCACAAGTAGATACATCATTTTAACATGAATGAAAGCAGAAATGCCCGAGAGCTGTGGTTCTCATTATAGCAGACTCATTCTGTGATGTGACAAAACTTTGGTTTTTAAGTAGACAGCATAGACAATCTTGCAGCGTCGTCTGGATATAACTTTTTCATATTAAAGAACCAAATTGTTAGTCAACTTAATCTTCTTAAAAAAGTCAAGTTAGTGATTTTCATTTGATGGAAGGCAAATAACTTGTACACCCTCAGCAAGCACTACTAATGGGATTGGCCTGCAGTGCATTCCCTGTTCCTTCACAAGGTATCTCTAAGCAAAGCCACAATTGAATTTGTGCCAAAACAGTACAATGGTAAATAAAGAACTATCCAGATGAGATCATTCGGGTCACTTCCATTCTTTAATTGAATGAGCCTCCTCTGAAATTAGTGGGTTGTTTTATAATTTGAATTCAAGCTAACTGTAAGCCATTGTCACCTATTTCAATGGTAATTCATCATAATAGATAACATGACACACTTGTATATTGTCTAGCTGTAGGGTGTCAAGAAAGTCAATGATTGCTAGATGTTTTGTACTTCTGAAATTAAGACCATCATCTGGGCACATACATTAACATTTTTGAAGCTACTTTAATGTACAGTTAAATAAAACACAGCATGTGGATCATAGCTTCTGCCCAACTTTGTCAGTTGTATAAGGAATTTATTTAAGCAATTGGAGAGAATTAAGAAGATTATCTACAAATAGTCCATTAATGTTTTTCCCCACAGATTGAAGAGCTTACCAGCAACCTCCCACAGCTGCAGTCATTGTCTAGCAGTGCTTCTTCTGTGGAGAGTGTTGTCAGTTCAGAAACTGCAAGTCCTCCAAGCAAACGGAAGGTGGTAACCAAGGTCCAAGGAAGTGCCAGGAAGGCTTTGTTAAAATGGATACAGTACACAGCAGCAAAGTAAGTAACCTACAAATGAGCTGAATTTATAACTGAAGTGCAAATTTTTTCTTCAGATTCTAAACTCTTTCAGTCAGGAATTGTCCTTTTGCTCTGTATGTATACAGAAGCTCCTTGTGATCGTATTCTTTTTGGCAACTGAGGCTGCTAAATGTTACCACCGTATAACAAGCAAGTAATAAATAGTGTTTTGCGTTAATTTTAGAAGCAATCATATTTTTTAGTTTCTGAATAATGAATGGGATTATCTTTGACAGAATGAGGAACTGAAAGGGGAATTAGATGTCTGAATGACAATGTATTAGTCCTGCTGCCAAAACATTCGATGTGACAATGCAAGTCCCACACTGACTTAGCATTCCTCAGTGACAGAGCTAGTAGGAGCATTAAATTCTGGCACTTGCTTTTGAAGGGAGGTGATGAAAAATAATGAATATCCTTCTGCAGTTTTGTGACACAAGGGACATATTACTACAAAAGTTGCCCTGAATTTTCATTCTTTTTAATCCAAGTTATTTTGGAGTTATTTTGGAGTTATTTCTTCCTATCTCTTGTTAACTTAAGAATTTTCTCCTTTATTTAGTATAATTATCCCACCTTGGTTCTGTTTCCAAAAACTGATTAAAAAAAAAAAAGCATAAATTAGATCAAAGATACAACAGTATTTTGATGGCTTCCACAATAAGAAAATAAAAATCAAAGATGTGAAAGAATAAAATGGATCTATTTGTTCAAATTAAAGAATCACTGCTATTTGAAGAGATCAATCATGTGCAAAATGTGGAGGGGAAATGGCCAGTTATGGAATGATATCTCAGAGAAAAGAAATATAATTGTAAAGATACAGACTTTTTCCAGTTCTCCAATAAATAGGTAAAATACAGTAATTTATAGTGTGATACAGTCTAATTTGGCATTCTTCCTATTGCACTGTTGTCAGTAAGACACAGGCAACTGAAAGTGGTCAGCTGTGATTTTCAGACATATGAACAAGCAAAAATACAAACAAAGAGGTTCATAAATGAAACTGTCAACATTATGGGGAAGAGTAGGTGAAATGTGTTGAAAGAAGCCTAGAGGAAGGATGGTACACTTTGCCTAGCCCATTAAAGTCAGTGAAAGTGTTTCACTGGTCACAGTGAACTTTGAATGAAGCCTTTATTCAGAGTTACTGTTGCTATGAACCTCCCACTGGCAAGACTACCTCGGTGTCTATGTGTGTCCTCAAAGGAAGTTAGCATACTGAAAGTAAAAAACAGCCTTGCAGTCCATGGGTCACCATAACTTTCAGAATTACATTTAAAAGAAGCAATCAGAAGTGTGATTCAGCTCTGATTACTGTCTCATTGTAGATTGCTATTTCTTGATCATTTTGTTTTTAGTGGACGTGTAATTGTTTTAGGTATATGAAATTATAGTATCACTCATGCTTTTGGTAAGAGTATAAAGAAATTTGTGTGTTACATTTTCACCTGAAGAACAGTGACATCACTATTCATGCTTTATTTTTAATAGATAACAGATTCATGTAGTCTTTTTTTTTTTTTTGATATGACACTGATGTTCCTAACTGAACTGCAGTAGTTAATAATGGAGGGAGATATGAAGTGCTTTATAGTGAGGGAGAAAATAGGGAATGGAGCTGCATACATCCACAGACTCTCTGTATGTCATACAAGAAGCTTGAAAACCTTGGTGCACTTCATTTGTTCAAAATACCATTGGCTGATTGCCACTAGTAAGCCCAATGGAGACAAATACAGTATGCATATGACAAAAAACTCTTGGTTCTTCATAGGCAGAGGTGAATTTATGCAGTGGATGGATGGAGCTGTAGCTGACCTGAGTAGCATTGCAGGAACAACAGGTGGTTTAGGTTTAATGATGGGTAGCCACTGGGTGGAGCATCCTGACTCCTCCCCTGTTTCATCTAGTCCTAATGTTGTTGCATGTCACTTTTTTTTTTTCCTTTCATATTCTTTAGGCAAGTTGGAATTGAAATCAAAGACTTTGGACAAAGCTGGAGAAGTGGTGTTGCATTTCATTCTGTTATTCATGCTATCCGCCCAGATTTAGTGGACATGGAGAAAGTGAGGGGAAGGTCAAACAGAGAAAACCTGGAAGCAGCGTTCACACTCGCAGAAGCAGAACTAGGAATTCCAAGGCTCCTTGATGCAGAAGGTAGCTAATGCATAGTTGAAAAAAGTTTGAACTAGCATGGGTTAAATCAGGTGTGCTGTTTCACAGTGTTTAGACATTTAAGCAGCATTTGGTGCCATTCAGCTAAAAATTAATTTACTGTGTTCTATACTTGTCTAGATGTGGATGTTGATAAGCCAGATGAAAAGTCTGTCATGACCTATGTAGCCCAGTTTTTGAAGTACTATCCTGATCCTCATCATACAGGGACTGATGTGCAGGACAATGATGTAAGTTTCTCTTGCATAACTATACAAATCAGTTTATCATGCGGGGGGCTTTATAAATACATTTTATAGCTCTCTTACAGTTTATTATGTTTCCTTTTGATGAGCAGTTCAAGTGAAAAGTAAGTACAATAAGAAAACTAGAAAAGATTAGCTGAGCATAAAGGAACTAGTCTTGCAGATGTTTACTAGTAGAGGGAGAAGATAGAATGGTGATCCTGCAGAGATTTTCCTATTTTCAGCAGTAGGAACCAAAAAGAACATGAACAGTTATTGTAGGTAGTAGCAAACCAATGGATCCTGAAGTTCCCCAAGAGATTTTCAAGCATAATACCAATGAGATTGCAATAATTTGTTACCTGAAGCAATGCATCACTTCTGTTTCACTGGATTTTACTTCTGTATCACATTGGGTTTCTGGATACAAGCAAGAATATTCCAAGAGATTGCTTAGGTGTAGTCTTTGGGCTTTTAGGCTCAGGAGGCAGTTTTGACAATTTTGACACAGGTTTCTTTCTATTGCACAATGATGTTTGACTACTTGCTCTAAGGAATTGTTTTCAGTGATGTGTTTTTCTTGGTTTGTGTTTCATGTATGTTCTAGTGCATTGGCTTTGCACTAGAATGGCTATACTCAGTGATGCCAAGTGATCGTGACTCACTTCCTAATCCTGATCATTTGCTTTCTTCATGGCAAACACGGGAAACACTGCTGAGACAATCTGCCCAGCCCCAGCAAGATAGAAAGAGGAAGCACTTTTTTTTGTGTTTCTTTGCATTCCCTACAGAGCTACAGAAGAGCTTTCAAAGGAGTGAATCTAATTCCTTATGGCTCTGTGGCTACAGCAGCTGTAGCTTTGCTGTCTGATTCCAGTGCCTGAGCACTGGAATTTTTCATTTTCCTTGCTGCAACATTGGCCTGAGGACATACATGTGCTGATGCCACAGCATCCCACTGAGTAATGGGGCTGCTTAAGCAGAGGGAGTGAGCACTGAAGCCTCATGCTGTGGCCTGTGGCAGGCTAAAGCAGTCCTGTCATCTCCATATCATGGCACACAATGCAGTTTCTGCTGCCAACAGACTCAGCCAGGTCTGCTGCCTGTGCTGAGGTTGGATTTTGAGGAACAGCCTCACTACCTTCTCCTGAGCTTTATGCAGAAATGATGCAGGAGAATGTAGGGCTGGGCTATTCTACTCTCTGCCTGTCTCTGGCTATACCCACAGAGATGATGGCACATGAGCCTGTGTTCAGGGAAACTACTGAGTTGCCTCCTGAATTGCCAGTTACTAGGAAGTGAAACAACACAAATTCATCAGTTTGACAAGCTTAGCTCAAGGCCACTTCTTCTTCTTAGATGTCACTAAGATAGTCTAGTAGCAATCCAGGTGAATTTTGGTAGAACCGCTGGTCCCCTGCGTGTCACACTACAGAAATGACTAACTCCCAGAGTTTGAGAAGTAAGAGTTAGACATTGCACTAGATTTCTAAAGTCATAATTCTTTGTTTCCTTGAGGAAGATCTATATTCCTTCTGACATCCCTGATAGAGAGCCTGGCAGTTTGAGACAAACTCCACTTTCCCAGTGGAGTATCCAGTCAAGAATAGTGATGGGGCCCACATTTTTTTCTGACACAAATTCTGCTAATTCATCTCTGGAGAAATTGTCATCCCTATCAGGCACCTGTGTCCACTCTATACCTTGCTCGGTAGTCCTGTCCACCATAACTTCCAATTCGTTTCTGGTCATGTTTCAAAATGGTGACCACATGGCATGATAGGTTGATGGGAAAGAGAACTGGATATATCCAGGCCAATAAGCAATGCACAAAAAGTCCAGGACCCAAGTAGTCACTGGCCCCAAAGCAGTGAAATACATAGAAAAAAAAGCACAATGCTTTCATCTGTTTGGGACTGGGTAGATATAAGCTCTCTAATGGCTAAACTTTTGCACACTTTGGTATTTTCTTACTATAAAGTTTTGTATTTCTGTCAGATATCACAAAGAGAAGCTTATTTTACACTCAGCTGTTTTACTTGGGTGAATTTGTCAATAGATAATCAAATCTCTCATACTCAGAACTTGCATTTTAATATATTTGATCTGTTCTCAAGAAAATAATAATGATAGTTTTGGCAGACTATCATACACAAATTCCAACAAATGTTAGGACATTAGTTTACACAGTTCTGGAGGGGAAGGGGAAAGAAGCCAGGGGTTAATGCAGTTGATCTTGTTGACTGTGGGATATCTAGATGAAACAAGATATCTAGATAATCCTTGGCAAAATAAGAGTGTCATTTGTGTTGCATGAGACTTATGGAGAGATTCTAGTGCTGAAAATCCAACAATTCAGTTTAAAAATCTACAGACGTAAGTATTGCATTCCATATTTCTACAGTATTTGAAGGGAAAATTGAAAAAACCACAAAACTCATTCAAATGTTTTGTAATCAAATATCTTATGGATGTTTTTTCATCCAGTGCTTTCGCATCTTTCTAGCCCAAATTCATAATTGCATTTGGATTGGTGAAAATGAGGCAAAGGATCATTTAAATCACCAGGTTAAATAAGGCTGTCACAACAGCAGATCCAAAGTGCTAGTGTTGCCAGCAAGTCAAGGGAGGTTGCCAGCTGGTGAGGACACACTTGGAGCACTGTGTACAGCTCTGGGCTCCTTGGTACAAGAGACCTGGACATATTGGACAGAGTCCAATAAAGGGCCACAAGGATGGTGAAGGGACTGGAGCACCTCTCCTATGAGAAGAGACTGAGAGACCTGGGGCTGTTCAGCCTGGAGAAGAGAAGGCTGAGGGGAGTCTTAGCAACATGTATAAATACCTGAAGGGAGAGTGCAAAGAGGACAGAGTCAGGCTCTTCTCAGTGGTGCCCAGTAACAGGACCGAAGGCAATGGGCACAACCTCAAACACAGGCGGTTCCCTCTGAACATCAGGAAATGCTTTTTCACTGTGAGGGTGACTGAGCACTAGGACAAGTTGCCCAGACAGATATTTCCATCACTGGAGGTATTCAAAAGTTGTCTGGACGTGGTCCTGGGCAACGGGCTGTAGATGTCCCTGCCTGAGCAGGGAGGTTGGACCAAATGACATGCAGAAGTCCCTTTCAACCTCAACCACTCTGTGATTTTTGCGATTCTGTGATGATATTTAAAAGCATAGTTGATATATTTAAGAATTTCTTTTAGTGAAACAGTGACAACAGAGGTCTTCTTGCAATGCAAGAGGAATGCTCTTTTGTAAATGGCATCACACAAGAATGGATTTGGATGTGATAAGTGAATTGGATGCCCTTGTGATCACCAGAGCTAATAGTGCAAGGTAGAATGGTATCTATTCCCTCTTTCTTCCCTCTTACTGACCTGGGGTATCCATGTCCATCATAAAACTTTTCTTAGGAATTTTGCATTGTTTGGTTAGCTTAGGACAAGATTCATCCATCTTTAAGAATCTAAAAGCTAGGTACCTACACTCCACTTGTAAACAGTAACACTGAGGGATAGACACTTCCAGATGGCATCTTTCTTAAGATGGTGTCCTAAATAAACTGTCTAGAAGTTTGTGTTGTATAGAATTTCAGCAGAGTTAAAACTGCCTCAGATCACTCCTTCCCTTAGGTAATGATAGATAAAATGTTTTTGGCAGTTGATTAAAAAGAAATCCAGACATGCTTTGTATTTTTGTGACTGGTGTAATCCCCCTATTCTTAGCCTTTCTGTCTTCCCCCTGAAGTCTACTATAAGGAAATATGTATCACAGAATGGTAGAATCCAGGTACTTGGGAGAGATAACCTTGCAAGACTCATCCCTTAAATTCCTAGGTTATTCTTTATTTCTTTTTTTTTTTCCCAAAATTAAGCACTTTTAGGCTGTATTCTATTTGACCCGTGTTAAGTGCCTGCTGTAGAATTGGATGAGTCGGGCAGTAGATGCTAGATGCAAATATTTTTTTCTATCTGTCAAAAAGAACTGAAAGAGTGACTATCTCAGCTGCAGGTGCCTATATTTAGTTAGAAGACATTTAGTTAGTCAGAGTGGAGTGTGTCTGGGTGGTTTTTGACTGGGGGTGGGCGGTTGAGGATTTCTAACCCTCTCCCCCCTGCCCTTAGCCAACTCAGCTGCCACTGTGTTTCCTCAAGATGTGTTGTCCACACAAGTTCCTATTCATCTTCCCTCCTGATTCAACGCTCAGTTTATAAGGGATTTGCACTGGAAGAAGTGGAGTGATCATTGAAGCTTATCCTTTATTTGTGGTCAGAGGGAACAGCTATTTGCCTGTGCAATTCCGGAATTAAAAGGGATCTAGTATCTCATGCATGGACCAGCTATGCACATGTGAGAACTTGTGTAGTCAACACATCTCAAAGAATCACAGTTACTCTAAGGTAAGTAACTTTTTTTCCAGATAAAATAAATCATGCAGTGACTAGTAATCTGGAAATCAGATCTAATATGAAAACTACTTCACTGGGTGTGATACAGACAGGTGAACTTGATAATATTTTAAGTATATCTTGTATCCTTACATGTGTGGTGCTCTTATTGTTCTCCCTGGACTTTCTGCCTGCTTTGCTTTATTTTGTTTGCTTTTTTTTTTTTTTCCCTTCTTCTTGTTTTCCCATTTGTTTCATATTGCTAGGAACTTCAAGCAATCCCAACTTTTGTCATTTCTTTTATGAAATTTAAGGTAAGGGTAATATGCTCCAGAAGAATTGCTTGAATTGGACCTTTCATGCTTTTTATCTGTTTTTATCCCACACTTACTTGACTTTAGATTTTGGGTGTTTTTATCTACATTGGTTTGCTAGCCTTAGATTAATCTTCCCAAGAAAGCAAATAGATTAACATAATGAGTCTGAGTCTACCTTCTTACATGAGCTGATCCTCACAGCTTAATGATTAATTTGGCAAATAATTTCACAGAAATATTATAGAAAATCAAGTCAACTCTCCTATAATAAATCTCAGACTGTGCTTTTGGTTTTTTTAAGTATAGATATAAACATGAAAAAATAGAATAGAGATCAATGTTTCTACTCATCTAGTCTCATTTTAGATGGATATTTTTGTATGTCTTTATGTTTATAGAGTAGATACTAGATCGTATATATGATTGTGCAAGTGATGTATGTGGACTGTGTGTTGGAAGGAAAGAGCATTCATGTGTAATTGCATGATATGCACTGCTCCTTTTTTCGCATAAATTATGATGTTTTTAAAAATATACTTTTTAAATAATCTTGGACATTTAGATACTTATAATTGTCTAGTATTAACTGAGAGAAGTTCAGAAATCTGATGAGGAGTATTTGAAATGAACATTCAGAAGTGAAGCTGAAAGACTGCAGAAGTTAATATATTATAAAACAAGTAACAGGTGTCACTGCAGTCAGTCCATAGTGTTTATAGTTTGACCTAATCCAATTAATTACCTTGGTTCCACACTCATGATCCACGGCTCATCTCATATTATGTATATCTAACTAGTGAAATGTGTTGAAGTGAAGATTAATACTGATAGCTGAATTATTCCCACCTTCTCAATCCATTCAAGCAAGTTTGGGCAGCTTTAATGGGACCTTGTACATTCTTAGCCTTACACAGCCCCAGTGCATTGCTGCTTAAGCTAGTGAAGATTTGAAATGGTAAAAGCTCTGTCAATTTCTTTATCTTGGTATAAATTTAACTACAGAGGAAGCACTCTCCTTCAAAATATTTCTGATGTAAAGTCTTTTTCTTCTTGTGCTCTGATGAGCAAGTAATTCAGAAGATAATCCTGTCACCTCCAACATCTTTATGCCAGCGGATTTCCCCAATGTAAGAGGAATTTCTTGAGCAGCAACTGCAAAAATAACTTTCCTGAGCTCTTCCAGTGATTTACTGTCTACTTTTACAGCTAAGTATTAATAGCTTATCGCTGAAGATGGTGCTTGGCTCAGCATTCACTGTGCATCTGTGGTACTGTTGTCAGTGAATGTGTTTTAGTACCACATAGACACATATACATCCAGTAATACATATATACAAGCCAGTTTTCAAAAGGAATGGCATAATTAATTGAATTCATGTATAAAACCTTTTAAAGGGACTTGATTTTATGAGCACATAGACAATACAATGGTTCAACACCCCGGAAAAACAGGTGATTTATTTTTTTATATTTAAAAGTTCATATTTGAAAATTTTATCCTGCCTGTGCCTGAGAATTTGAACAGTTCACCTGGTGTATAATTACGTATTAGAGAACCCAACAAAGTATTCCTCTTCCAGTCCATAATTAAATTTCTAATGAAACACAGATGTGTATTTTTAGCCTTTCAAACACCAGAGTATTCTGTATTATGTAATTTTCAAATTAACTCTGGCATATCAGTTAATAAAATAATGTTTTGACTTTGAGTCTGGGCTGAAAACTTTCTTTGTAAGTTTAGATTGTACCCCCTTATCATATTGGAACTCAGAAACACTTTTCTCTAATTACCTTCTTTGATGTTCTTTGGCAGTTGAGTGTTCCAGTTCTGTTCATCTCTGCAAATCAGTGAATATTCATAGAAAGGTGTCAGGATGAATTAATACTTTAAAATGCTGTTTGGAAGTAGCATGAGGAAAAGAAGTCATAGTGGCTTATATAAATGGAAATAAATGTGATCAGAGTTCAATAATCCTCATAGTGGGGAAAGCACGAATAGTTATAATTATCCTAGATAAATTTTCTTTGATGGTTTATGTTCTGATCTGTATGCTACTTCATATGTGCAGGCTTTAGAAAATCGTTTACATGTCTGTAAGAATATCCTTTTGATATTTTTATTACTAAGGTAAGAACCACTAGGCACTAATGAAAGTCTTGTTTTAAGAATAATAGCTCATTAAACCTGGGGGCTGTTGGTGACAGGTGCCTTGGTGTCTAAGAAAGTGAATCTTTTATGTTGATTACCCAAATTGAGACTTTAAAATACCTTTGTATCAACCAAGGACCACAGAACCACCTTTGCAGGTGGTAAGTGTTGCACTGAACTGGAAACCTGTGAAAATGTATGAATAAATAAATAAAACCCTTATCATGCATTGTTGCACAATGTCTTCAGCACCATTCAGTTAGACTGTTACTGAAACACTTAAATCTGCAATTAAACAAATAATTGTCTAACTAAATAGTAAAAAAAAAAAAAAATCACTGAAGACACAATGCCACCTGTTAACTTTATCTTTTCACTTAATGTCAGAGAAATGGTATGTGATTTAAGAGAGTTGTGGCTGTTCCTGTGTTCTTTACCTTAAGGTACCATAGAGGTGTTCTTTATCCTGGTGATGTCCTATTTTGAAAGATTTGTTTCGGACCCAGTTTTAACCATTATTAAATTTTTAAGCTGTGTTGACAGGAATCTTGCAAAATACCTATTTTGCTCACATTGCGATATGAACAGTTGTAGCGACACAGATGCTCTTCTTACAAAGACTTACCTTAAAGAGGTGCTTCTCATCAATAAGAGCATGACCCATAGAGGAATAAAAGCCAGTGTTTTACAAAACCGAATTTATAGTGTGAACTAATAGTAATATATACAACATTGTGATACACTTATTCTCTTTCTGACTTTGAGAATATCTAAATTAAAGTTTCAGTTAGTAGGATTTTTTTAGGACTTTCAGTCCATTAAGATGCATAGTTTAGTATAGTCTTTATGGAGCTGACAGCTAAATACTAATAGAGGTCTCAATAGTCTCACTACATTTTGAACTTCTAATGAATGGAGTACATTGAATACCAAAGTTCTTTTTCTGATGGCTGAATGAGTTAAGAATTCTCTCTTATATTCTTCTACCGATAGGGGAGTAGTCCTGGCTTTACTCGATCTCAAAGAATCTTGATATTTTTCCACACACAGAGCCAGCTATCAAACCAGAAGAGTAGCAATTTTATTTTCCTTCTCTATATTTAAATGATTTGAGAAGTTGGAAGCACTAGGAGTTTTGGCTTCTTGGGACACTATGCAGTTGAGGAAATCCCAGCATTACAAATAGCTGGAGCAGGGAAATGTCATATGTGTCCTATACTGTTTCTCAGGTATCAACTTTTGACAAATGTCAGAAGACAGGAGCATGAGGTATAGTGTACTTTGTTCCAGCACAGCTGCCCTCTTATCATGTTAATCTCATTGCAAGCTAAGGTGAATTAATAGATACAATACCTGTGATATTTACACCTCAAATTCTGTCCAACCAACTACCACTGTTTTCAGCAGAGGATCAGTAAGAGGATTAGTAGAAATACATCAAAGAAGAGTTTCCGTCCTATCTGATGATCCTGTCCTTTCCTCAGCTGAAATGAAGCAATAGCTCTATGCTTTTAAAATTATTAAGCAAAGTTATATTTTACGTATTTGAGGCAGCTGTCAAAGAAAGGAACCATAATCGGCTCATTTCCCAGATTAGGATCTTTTCTCAAAAGAAAGTATGTTGTTTCTTAAATACAGTCAGTGGCTATGCTTTTTTATCACGTGGTCCAGTTTTTCTTCTCTCATGTAATGCTTGAAACTTAATCACTCATTTTAGGTGATTAACTTATATGATGTGGTGTTGCACTTGTTCTCTGTAACAGATCTGTTTCTGACAAATTTTACAATAATATGGCTTCTATGGTTTCAAAGAGTAGCTTCTGATTATGATGCCAGCATATATGGCTCATTGGTTAGAAATCTGAGATGGACACTTGTATCCTACTTGATTAGCCTGCTTACACAGTGCACAAAAAACCCCCTTCTGTTGTCTGCTGACCTTCTCATATAACATGCGCACACATCCGAGAGTTCCTGTTAGTGTTTTTCTATTTGCTACCAGGTCACTGAATTTTGCAGAGAACATTGCAGCCCTGCAAAGCATCAGTGCCATGACAAACTGAAATAGTAAAGCAAAACTGTAAAACAAATATGCTGTTCTTCAAAGCCATAAAATGGCATGGAAGGAAAAGAAACTGAATGCAATTGGGTTTTCTTTCTTTTAATTTTCCTTGTTAAAACATTCTATATCAAAATATTTTGCCAACTTCTGAACCTGGAGCTTAATGTCAAGGATTGCCCTGAAGTCACTCAGAAAATAATTTTTTTTTTTCAGCGCTAGCAGACCAGATAATAAAATGGTGGTAAGAGATGCTAAAATACTCTTCTGTCTCAGCTCAATTAACTTTTACTGAAAAATGATTCTGCAAATACATGGAAGACTAAAATTAGCTGTTGAGGTATCTTCGAAGGACTTTGTGTTAATTTAACATCAAATGAGAACTGCGAGTAATCTCTCTGACACTGCAATGTCCCAAATTGTCATGATTTCACCACTGTAAGACTCATGTCTAGAAGCTGAGTTCTCCCCTTATACTCAGGAAGCGCTTTTCAGTTACACTGTATGAAGATAAGCCATGAGAGAATGGGGACCAGATGTTCCCTTGGCTTTCACTGCTACTAATGACCTTGACTTACTCGAGAGATGTTAATTTCTGGGCTGTATCTGACACCTCTACTAATAGGCTCCAATGGGTTTTTTGTGTGTGGTTGTACTAAATCATAGAAGGAAGACAGGCTGATGCTGAGAGACCTGAAAGTGTGGGCAGAACAATTTGAAAGAGACTTAGCCCGAGCACAGGTGGCAGAAACAAGCTTACAGGAGAAATACCAGGTAAGCGGTAGGAAAAATTTTGTGTGATAAGGCATTATTGTCATCATTATGTGTAACATGTACTGCAGTATTTTATGCGATCTGTATATATGCAAGTCAATATACTGTAGTTTAAAGAAATAAGGACACAAACTGTCTTTCCTTTTATTGGTGGAGGAATTATAATATCAGTTCCAGTTTTGCTACGTAGAACAGTGCACAGATGGTTTGCCTGACACAGAGCTTTTCCTAGCAGTGTGAAGAAGGACTGTCCTAGTTAGAAGTGAGCATGTGTCTGTACAGTCCTTCCAGATCCTGCATGATACAGCTCAGATGGGAGGTATGACTGAAGGCTGGATGAGGTGACAGGTGGAGAGGACAGGGCTTAGAGCATAATTTTTAACCCCTCTCTCAAAGGTTAATGTCTAAATTGGAATATAAATTTTGGTCTAAATTTTCTCCTGAAGCTCCACTGTTTTCTAAAAGCAGACATAGTCTGTCCCAAGTTGTATTTAATCCATTTGCTTGTCTACCTGATCAGTTATTCTTTCCTTTCATAGAGGGTTCAGGCATCTGATAACTGAAGGGAAATGCAAAAGTCCTACCTATATTTCCCTGGAGGATTCTATAGTCTATTAAACACTTTAATAAAATGCATTTCAGTGTAAATGTACAAGTCTACTGCTACTCCTCCTTGGGAAGGATTAGGACTTCATCAGTACAAAATTGTCATAGGTTGTAGTACTCCATAAATGTTGAAGAATTTCATTCTTTGCACTACACTGATTTCATTTTCTCTTTTTGCAGTCATTTAAGCATTTCACAGTACAATATGAGGTAAAAAGGAAACAGATTGAACTTGTAACCCAGTCATTAAGGAAAGATGGTAAATTATCCCTTGATCAAGCTATGGTGAAGCAAGCATGGGACAGAATTTCTTCCAGGGTAAGTTGAAAATTATTATGCTATGTATTATTTTATTAAATGAAGGAGGAGAATTTAAAGTCATTTAGACACCTGTTTGCTGTTGATTTTATTAGGCATTAGGAACCTAAAAGTGGACCAAATTTCTAGCACTATTGAATTATTTGGCATTTGTTTTGAGAACATTTACTGCACTATCATCTTTAATATAGCTTGAAGACAGAATATGAACTTTAAAAAAAGGGCTATACTTTGAAGTTTCCCTTTATTTGAAAGTGTGTTAACAGTGCTTAGCCAAGTTCAAAACATTGTTGATAAAAACAAAAGCATGCACAGTGCCCCTACAAAATGCCATGTTTTAATGTAAATTGATTGAAAAAATTCTAACATTTTTTTAATACAACTAAAAAAAGTTTCTGTGTAATACTGAATATTTTATCTATAAATGAGGCTTTAATGCTGTTTTTGACCTGGCTGCAATTGTAATAAATTACTATTGGTATTTGTGATAGTAGTTGTGTAATAATTGAATGAAAAATCTCAAACAAGTTATATTGTTTGTCCCAAATAAGAAGTTATTAAATTATTATTACTCATGGAGGGTTTTTTTTATGTCATGTATTTAACAGAGACTCATTTGCACTTTACACATAGAAAATATGTTCAAAATAAAGATAAAAAGATTTTATGGGAGAGCATGGCATAAATTACATTGAGTGGAAGAAGGTCTCACATTCCTTACTGTGCCTATTAACTGATGAAATTCCAGATCTTTAGCTTGTCAGTTTTCCAGTTTATATGTGGTCAGTTTTGTAACTCAGTTAGCGTTCTGGAAGGGAAATACATGAATCAACAAATCCTTACAGAGATTTTGTTGCCTATGAGATTGCTGTATTTTCAGAAGTAACGTGAAGTAATATACCTAGGATTATGTCTCAAACTTACTCTGTTATGTGGGGTTTTGGTCTTACAGTAAAAAGTCTGATTTTTCTCAAGATGCTTGTTTGTATAATTAAGCAAGGAAGGAAGTTCAATCCTCTTATTTTTGTTTCCTAGCTACTTGATTGGCACATACACCTTGATAAATCTCTTCCTGCACCTTTGGGTACCATAGGTGCTTGGCTCTATAGAGCAGAGGCTGCTCTGAGGGAAGAAGTAACTGTTCAGCAAGCTCATGAGGAAACAGCAAATATAATACACCGGAAGCTTGAACAACATAAGGTAGATCCATATGCATTTATTCTGTACATTATATTTCATTGTTTCCAAAGCTGTAAATGATCCATACTGCACAAAGAAAGAATATTATTTCTAGTTTCTGTGGGTGGTGTCATCGTGATGGTAGCTAAAGCAATGTGTCTTTTAGCGATGACTTGAACTGTGATATCTGTGTATGTTACAAGCGATATTCAAAATTGTTTTTGAATGCTCCTGCTTCTTCTATCTGAAAGATATCTGGTATTAATATTTTAGTTGTTCCCCTATTTTAGGATTTATGTTGGGTAATATTCCATAGGGAGCTCATAAGTTGGGTACATTGTTCAACCAACATGAACCTACTAGGTGAAACAGGAGAGAGAGAGAACAAACATACTAAGTGTGCTGACAGTCAGTGGAGGTGATATGCACTGGGGGAAAAAATAGAATGAAGCGAATTTTCATAGTGTTGTGATGACAACATGCATGAGAAGTCCCCTCTGCTGTGGTAAACGGGAAACTTTTCCAGACGAATTTAAATACCTTTGCCATTGTTCTTTGCTGAGTCCAAGTTCTCATTTAAAATCAAAACTGTGAGGTTTGTCTGTGCATTTATGTAATATATACGAGAAAAATTTAGACAGAAATTGTTGGTGAGATGATAAAAGAAACTGAACAGTAAATATGATAGAGAAAGGGAAAAGATGGTGTAGAGAAAGGCTGCACTTGTGGATGAAACTACTGGGTTTTATTTTGACTTACCAGTGCATGTTAGGGGCACCCCTTTTTGCCTGGCAAGGTGAGACCTTGCAGCTAGCTGGGATACTTGTTCCAAGTCCTCCTTTTATGTGAGAGTATGTTAGTCACAGGATACTCCCAGTGGAGTTTTTGCTGTAGTAAAGTCTGCATCACTTGTGTCTGCGAAAGCCTGGTTCATTTCTCTCACAACAAGGTGTTGGCTGAAGTGGAAAACAATAAAAAATACGTGGGTTGATGGGGATGGTGGGACCATTTGGTGAGCTGAGCCAGTGAATTAACATTAATTTCTGCTGTGCAAATGCTGGGCACTGACCAGGGAGAAACCCTTCTTTAGCACATAGGAATAAATAGACATCTGTGATCAATACACAAGCCTGCATTTTGTTCCCCCAGGTAAGAAAGGGGGACCTTTGTATTATATCCTTTGCTAATAGGCTTCTGAGCACTTTGTGCCAGGAGCTGTCTGTATGCAGTAAAATACCCGCTGTTCTGTGTCCTCTCAGCCGCTGGGGACTTTACATGTTATTGTTACGACATCTCTTCAAAGACTACTGCCAGTCATTCATTTTAATATGTAATCTCCAGGAAGCCGTTTGAAGCAGTGTTGCTTAGTTACAGTTGAAATGTGCTCTGCTGTAAGGTTTTTGCTGGTACAATTCTTGTCACAGGAATACAGGTTGGGTACCACATTCTGCATTCATTCGTGTAATGTAGAGAGAGCGATCATGAAATCTTTTGATGCTGAGAGAGTGAAAAGTTCACTAAATACTGAATATGTACTTACGTAAGGAGCTATGGATCTTCTGCCTATATATAGCGGAGTAGATTAGTTGCTGAAATTTGAATCTATGCTTAATAAAGGTCAGTATCTGTTATAAAGATGTAAAGAGTAAATTTAGCAATATTATGCTGTTGTAATGTTAGAGTATTCGCAGATTGCATTTCAGGGATTACTTAATACAATTAAGAGTTCTTGTTTTGTTAAACCTTTGTAGTATATCCTCTGTTTTCAAATCTTCCATAATTGCTAGGCACAGCATTAGCAGAGCATTTTATAAGGGGGTTCCCTATGTAAATGTTCCAGTTGATGTAAATGCTTTTGTGGTATGCATAACCTTGCATGCAAATGTGCGAGCATGATCAAATAGTTAACTACATTGAGTCATCAGTGCAGGCTTAAAATTGTGCTTATTAGTTAGATAGCCTACTGTGAGCCTTCTCTTTCTCTCTCTCTCTCTGTGTCTCATTCCCCCCCCCCCTCAATCTCTCTCTCTCTTTCTTAAAATCAAATCAGGATCTGCTGAAAAACGTAGATGGTCACAAAAAGGCATTCCATGAGATCCACAGAGCCAGGTCTGTTAACGGAGTGCCTGTTCCACCTGACCAATTAGAGGATATGGCAGAGAGGTAAGGCTTTCAATCTGAAATAAAAACCCTCTGTGAATGAAAGGGAACCTGTTTGCATTTTAATCTGTTCATGTAGAAATCACTGTCTAATTATGTTTCTCAGTGGCAAGCATGAAAAAATTGGAAGGAAAAACCTCCTAGAATATACACAAAAATATTCCAAAAAGCCTGATGCATTAAAGACTGATGAGAATGAAAATAAGCTATGGGGTTTGGAAGGGAATACTTTTTTACATTGATCCTGCTATTACTTGTTCCTGCAAGAAATGTTATGTAACAACAGCCAGAATGCATGTGAAAAAAGAAAAGAAAAATGACTTTGCAAAACTTAGTAACAGATGTAAACTGATGATTTCTATGAATAAACAGAAATGTAATTATTTCAGGAGCTATCATCAGAATGATCATCATGCATAATTAAATGTCTGTAGAATCTGAATTAGGTGAAAGGTTAGAACAATATCTGAACTGTAACTAAAGCTTTCAGTCTCTCTTGCAGAAATGAATATTGCTGTATTTTACTACAGTGTGATTCATTTTATAGGTTTAATTTTGTTGTCTCTTCATCTGAGCTCCATCTGTTGAAGATGGAGTTTCTGGAACTGAAGTACCGTCTACTGTCACTCTTAGTCCTTGCAGAATCAAAGTTAAAGTCATGGATTATCAAATATGGAAGGCGAGAGTCGGTGGAACTACTTCTTCAAAATTACATTGTAAGTCGGGTTTGTCCTCTTTTTATAATTATTTTTTTTAAATATTCATATTTAAGATCGCTGGAAATGAATAAAAGAGCAGAAACAGAAATGAGATTTGCCAGACATCAACTTTATGACTGCAGTCTTATGGAATATCTTTTCAGTGGTGAATCTCTCTTCCCCATGGAGGAACTTTATTCTAAAGGCTAAAAATGAAAATTATTCTCTTTGTGCCATCTCTTCAAAACCAGAAATAATGCCCCAGCTGCTAACTCTCTGACCATCAACTTACCAAGCATATCTGGAGGTTCCAAATCCTAGATTTTTACTTACCTTAGAGAGCAATTCCAAAGAACTTAATTTCGTTGTCTTTTACAACTGCATAGATGCACTTTATAGTGACTATACACAGATTAAGTGTAGAGATAGAAGAGGCTTTTGGCATGCAGTCCCCCACAGTACCTTTTTTTAAAGTCCTCCAAATGAATTTAAAAAAAGAAGTTATGCTGCCTCTGTGTACTTGTTCAGTATACTATACTGATAGGGGAGTGATTTTATTCTTTTAAAGAATGGTTTTTCTTCTGCTCAGCATTAGTATATTAAACCCATTACTTTATTTTTGTTCTGGAAAGAGATTGTTCCAGCCCTGCATCATGCATATATCATGTTAAGAAACAGATGCCATTGACTTACAAATTCTCATTGATGCGTTCCCTTTCAGTCTTATGCTGCTGTATCTTGTTAAATCCACACTTGCAGTGCCAGGTGGCTGGTAGAACAGTACCACTGCTGCGCTTCTACATTACGGCATGAGGGATTCTTTCAAAAGCAGGGCTGGGCTAAATACTTTTTCCCCCTTCTATCTAACCCATATGAAGAAAATTGCACAGGAAAATTCAGTTTGGAAAGAATTCATACAGTTATAGAACCATTCAGAGCCAGGACACTGTGTAGAGGAAACTATCGATGCCCCCGCAGCCTGATAGTTTTTATTGCTTTGGAAGAAAACTTCAAACTCAGTAAAGTTCTTCTACAAAGTGAGAACTGAAGACCTGTTCACACTTTTCCCTTTCTATGTTTAAACTTAGCATTTAGGGACACATAAAAAATCAGGAGTTAAGCCTTGTTTTAGACAAGCTTTGCAAAATTCAGGTGGTTGTTTAAAATAGCATAGCTTGCTAGAGAGATGTGCAATAGCTAGGAGTTATAGTCCATTTGTATATGCTGTAAGGCGCTGTTGCAGAAACTACTAAAAGGTGACAAGGGAAATAACGAGGAAGTGGATAGGTTAACTTTTGGATTTTTTTGTATCACTTTCTTATTTTTTTGCTTTAAAATTAACATTAAGTGGTGAATTTGTATGTTATTTTGCAATTGCCTCAGTTAGTCTTGTGCTTCAGACCACTAATGCTGAGGTGGTCATTAGGGGAAAGAAAATGCTTCCTTGCATCATTTACGAAACTGCATCACATCAAAAAGAGGAAACTGGGACAAGAAGATAAACAGAGCGCAGTTTCACTCCTGATGGCCTTGACTTCTGGCTCCTTCCAGGTGTCCAGTGATGGAAAAAGACTTAATTTTCTTTGGCTGATCTGGGAGCAATTTTCTAGGACCAAGAGCCAAGTGTTACTCTTTCAGTAAATTAGGAGTCTTATGTAGGAAAGCAGTAGTCAGTACCCTATAGTCAGTGGCTATATTAGTCGGAGATAAAAATGTAAGTTTGTTTGTCTGCCAAAGCAGACTGAGCAATGTCTTCTAGGATTCTAGGAACATGCGTAGTTAGGATCTGGATAGAACATATGCCTGGAAAATATTTATGTACTGTAGCTGAAAAATAAAAGTGGTGGTTGTTACTTTATCCCATCTTCAATTCATCTGTCAGTCATATACCAGAAGTAAAGGTCAGCATAAACTGCACACCAACAGCCTGAAGAATATACTGTACCAAAGTCTCAGCTGTAATGGAGACACCGGCTACAGTTATCCGTAGATTTTAACCCACGGAACTGTGTTTTCACATTGCTGTATTAGCACATTTTTAGCACCATATGCTAGACGAATTTGAGAAAAGCTACATATTTTCTTTAAAGGACCTTGTCAGATGGGAGAAAATATTAATCAGTAAAATGTCTATATTTAATTTTTTAAAATATTTCCATTTGCTCTTGAGATCAGTATTATATAAGTACTTTGATACAGTCTTTTACTTTCTCATATGAAGTCTTGCAGGTTTTGGTTCAGGGTAAAATGTCTGTGTGTATGGGTTTGGCAAAAGTGGAAGTCAGGAGTTTATCACATAATTCATGGTAAAGCACGTAGTTCTTTATACATGCCAGTTATTTTTTTTTTTTTAACAGTAGAGCAGAAAAAAATTCTGATTGTCCTTGACTTCTAGTTTCCTTGGTTATAAACACATTTCTAAATTACATACTGGTGATTTGACATTGCAACTGTAAACATTCTAAAATAGAAGATTTTTAGATATATACTGGCAGACAGATTAATTTTTAAAACTGTTTTTCATGTTTCTATAATGTAGGTTGATGAATACTCAAAATCTTATTCTTTTCAATGTACATTGAACTTTGACCTCATTTGAAACCTGGATTTACCAAATCACACTAGTACACATAGAATTTTGTCTATTCTTACATTGCAAAGCTTGTGTAGAGATATGTGAGATGTAATTGCCTTAATTTTGTAGATCTGTAACTGAGGAGGCATGGGAAGTATTATAAGTTGCAAAACCATTCCAAACTCTAGATAAGTAAATTAGGTAATGCAATACAAAAGCCCTGTAAAACAGCAGGTTTTTCCTCTCTTTAACAGTGGTAATGCAAGATATAATATGCTTGCATAATATAGAGATAATTGTATATCACACTTAAAGGAAGTAACATTTTTGAAAGACATTTAGAAAAAAGTCAGTGTCATTTGCCATAAGGGATAAAGAGGCATAAATAATAAAGAGCCATAACTTTGTGATCAAAATATTTCCAGATAAATTATTCATCACGCTATAACACATTACACAGCCAAAACAACACTCACAAAGTAAAAGCACGATGTCATACTTTGGAAAAGCCGGATCTCTTTGTGCAGTTAATCTTATTTTTACCGATTACAAAGGAGGCAAAGGAAAACTGAAGGATGAGTCAAATGTTTTTCACCTCTTAAGGTGAAACCTGCCTTTCTGCAAAGGCTTAATGCAGGAACAATTTTTAAAGGGCTTTTTTTGTGCTGAGATATATGGATGAAAATTTCTCTTTTACTAAAATGATTCCACTTAGAATTCAGTGCAAAAAAGTTTCCATTAAATAAATTTTAAGGTAATTTCTCAGTTTCTGCACATTCAAAAGATCATATGTTAGTGGGTTTTGGCAACTAGCGAGTTAAGAACATATTAAATAATCTTTCCATATGCAAAGTAAATCAGCTGTATTTGTAAAGAGATGCTGTACCATTTGTAAAATTCTGTACCATTAAAGGTGAAATTTATATCGTTTTTTATACTAATGATAATTTAAATATGATTTTATAATGATGGAAAAAAATGAATGGAGGAATAATGAAGTTAAAAGTTGTCATCACTGTCCTGATGTAATTTCATGAAAATTATTTTTATTCTTAATATATATCTTTATTTTGCTTTTTGTGTATTTTTTTCAGTCTGTTATTGAAAATAGTAAGTTCTTTGAGCAGTATGAAGTTACTTACCAGATCTTGAAAAGAGCAGCTGAAATGTACGCTAAAGCAAATGGCTCAGGTAAGTGCCTGTGTTTCTTTTGTTGTGGGGACACCATTTTAATCTCTTTACACATACGTATCCTCTAAAAAGATTTCCTAATATTTGTTTCTTCCGTGCAGCAGAGCTGTACAGCAGATGCAGCTCGTCAGAGAGGCTGCAGCCTCTGATAGCAATTTCACATATTTTCTAGCATGGAGACAGAGGGTACATGGGCTCTGTACATGGGTACAGAGCAGCCTGTCCTCCTGCTGTTAAGGTTTTGTAATCTCCAGAAGAGAGTGGTCACGTTCAGATTTCCTAATGGGAGAAGTCCATAGTCCATGCTAACTTCATGATTGTTTCAGTGTTGTTGATTTGGGCCAAAAGTGTGCCAGACACCAAATTATGAGTAGGGAAGATCATGTTCTGGCACCTGGAAATGCTCCTGGCTTGGCTTCATTTCCTAGAAAAAGGCAAATAGAGAGTTGGTTCCAGTATTGTAGTGGCAAAAATATCCCCTGATTTATTGAAGATTCTTCAGTAACTGTGAAAACCTCTAAGAGGAACCCGAATGAAAGTTGAAGTACGGATATACATGAGAAAAATGCGTAGTTGATTCAGCAGCTGCCTCCTGTAATTCCTGAACACTGCTGAGTTCAGTGAAAATGCATGAGGGCAATATTTGACCTAGATAGTTACAGACATGAGATCACTTTAATCTCTGCTGAGGAGGTAATGCAGTAATGTCAGTAGAGGATTGCTGCAGCTGCTAAAGTGGTTAGCAGATGTGGAGAGAGAATGGATATCTTTTTTTGTTGTGAAATTTAAGTTGATGATAGTGACACTCAAATTTTACAAAAGTAAACATTTTATACAAGGTATTCTTGGAAAGAATAAAATTAAGTGATGTATTCAATTAAAACCATCCAATAACAAATTCATTTCTAGTGGGCAGCTACTCACTTACATGAATTCAGAAACAACAGAAAATTAGAGGACACCTTAGCTAAAAAAGGTTTTTTAAATTATCTGTATTCTGCTTGTTTTATGAAGTCTCAGGATTTGATTGGGTCGTTTTTCTTCTCGCTGTTTTTTTCTTCTGGAATGAGGACACATTTGTTCCTTCATTGCCATGAGGAAAATACTAAAAATTAAATGGTAAAAATTAGCAGCAGTTTGGTTTTAAAGTTAGTGGAAGGAAAATCAGAATTTCACTCAGTACTTTTCAATGCAGGCATAATATTTGTTTGTACATTATACATCTCTATTATTTTCTGCTTTTTTTAAGGAAAACTTATCTCGATTTCTTTTATTACAGATTAAAAATGATCAGCACACTGAATATGCAGTGTGACTGTTCAAATATAGCACTCAGTTTATGTACTTTCTTAGTCTTTAATTCACAGGTTTCATTTCTTGGTCATAATTTTGCACTAAAATTGGTCTGTGAACTGAGCGTATGTATATATAAGCCTACTGAATTAGAAGTTGCAGTAAAATATAATTCCCTAATAAGAATGGATAAGCATAACATGATATTAAGCTTTACAGAGATAATAATGAACCAAAATAATCAATGTCTTTCCTGCATCTCAGTGGAAGAAGTTGAGAATGTGATGAAATTCATGAATGAAACAACCGCACAGTGGAGGAACCTCTCGGTAGAGGTGAGAAGTGTAAGAAGCATGTTGGAAGAGGTAATTGCTAATTGGGACAGATATAGCAGCACTGTGGCAGGTCTACAAGCCTGGCTGGAAGATGCTGAAAAAATGCTGAATCAGCCTGAACATTCTAAAAAGGTATACACTAATGTACTAATACTAATGTATCTGGCTATTTTGTGAATTATGAAACGTGGGATATGTTTTTGCATTTGCTTAAGTTGTTTTACAGTATGTTATGCAAGAGGGAGAGGTTTTTTCAGTTTCTGGCATACTGTCTACAATCATCATAGGTGTTTCAATGTTTGCACATATAGCATGTACAGATATATACATGCAATGAAAGAAGGCATCATCAGAGATAACATGATTAGAGGCATCTTTGATGTGAATATTCATCAGAGATAACATGATTAGAGGCATCTTTGACGTGAAGGGCATCAGTATTGCTCAGAGATAGGAATGTTACATGATTCACTCAAAGGCAAATAAAACTCTTAACACCAAAGTGCATAGTCATGTGCTACGTATAAAGACACTTAAAGAAAATTATTTTTTCCACTGATTTTTCTACCATATAGATGACAGATTTCAATATTAGTTGCATTCATAAGACAGCATTATTAATATGTGGTGTTATGTTTGATGGGGAATTAATTAATCCATTCCCCTGGTATTTTAGAAATCTTTTAGACAGTTCCTTTTGAGGACCTGCAGTCATAAAGATAGTTTTGCTGTCCTTTTTTTCCTGTTCTAATATTAGAGTACTGAAGCACTAAGATTTATGGGTTTGGTTTTCATAGCTTGTAAGATATGTCAAACTGACATCAGGTCAGGCATGAGCATGTTACGTGGCAGGACAGTATAATTTTTGGTAAAATTTTGTTAATTTAAATTGATGTAAAAGAATAGAATACACGTTTTAAATAAAAATAACCCTGTGAAAACTATTCAGTAGTCTGGCATAACATAAATGCCAACAGTTACTATTACTGAGCAGGAAGGATGACCTCAGCTGATCAGGTTGATCTTAGCTCCTCGTGTATGCTTTATGTAAGTAACTTGTCAGTGTTTAAAATGAAATATTCTTATATCCATATATATATATGAATAAAATAAAAATATTTACTTCTCTGATCAGTTTTATAACTTTAAAAATTTTCAAAGCAGAAATCTGAACATATCCATATGGTATATACTTGCTTCTGATTTCTAACCTAAATCCAACAAGTACTTCTTACTGCTCTGATATATGAAGAGTTTCAAAAAGCCTTGTTGAAAACCTTAGACATGAAAGCATTATTCTTCCCAAAACGCTAAGTTCTTCTTAAAATGACATTGCCTCAGAAGTGTTAAAGATTACTGAGAACTAACATAATCCACCTGTAGACTGAGATATGTATTTTAAAAATTACTTATACTACTAACATTGAATCAAGCACTCCAGAGGAATGATGTTCACTTAGTTCCAAGGATAGTTCTGATTTAGCAGTTTTAATATTTGGTTATTAAAACCAAAAGCAATACTTATATTGGTTTGTACAATTAATAGTCACACAACTATCAGCACAAGCATCTGGAAAACCAGGCGGAAGATGGTAACTATTGCCTGGAATATGGCACAAAACTTTTTTAAACATTTCCAAATATTTGTTTGGTAAAACCAGAAATATATCAGAATCATGACACAAAAATTTCATTGATGCTCATTTGCAAACCTTACCTGCATTACGAAAACTCACATATTCTATCCTAGTCAAAGACCATAGGAGCCCCTTACCATGCTGTCATGCTTTCTTCTTCTTTCCATTATCTCTGTATGATTTCAAGACCAGAAAGTACCACTGTTCTGTTTGCAAAAGAAAGTGGCTTGTCTTTCTCATTGTTTTTTGTTTTCAGAAACCCTATTGTGAACCTGTAGCACAGAAGGTCTTGCAGAAAAGATCAGTATGCACTTGGATTTTTCTTCTGCAAAGTACCAGAAATTTAACAGTAAATGTATTAATGAAAAAAACAATCCTTCTGCAACTCCTTTATTTACTTGCAGAACCTCTTAAGCGCTTCCCATCATAACCCCATTGTAACTGTGCACTTCCACACCTTTCTCCAACAGCTGTATCCAAAGGGTATCAGAGGGCTTCTAGATCTCATGTGGGGACTTCCTTAAAAAGAGCTGCATTGTTTTAATTGAGAGTGAGGTGTGCTTCACAGTACCTTCCATATGTGTCCAAATTTTACACATGCTTTAGGATGTGGCTTCTGAAACGGAAAGTCTCCCCAGCAGGGTCTGAGGAAGGTGACGGTTTGTGGGAATAAGTGTGAGGGAGCAAGGACATGAGTAGTTTACTCCATGTGCTTTTTCATTCTTGACCTCTAGTAAGCCTGGCCATTGGAGAACTGCCCAGTGCCATATTCAGTAGACAATTTATTTTGGATGTGCTCACACAGGGTAGTCTTTGCACAAAGTAAGGGATGCACTCCACTGTGAGTAGAAGATTCAAACTGCACATACAATTTACTGAGAAGATTTTTATTCATTGATACATCAGTGCAGAGCCCCTGTATGCTACTGATCTCAGCTTTAGGAATTTAAAACACTGTATGTTATTCAATTTTCTCTTCAACAAATTTGAGCCGTATATGTGCATTTGACGTTTTATTTTTGTTTGTATCAGAACTGTTTTTATATGTGCATGAGTTCCAACAAGCTATAAAGTTTCAGAACTGTAGGTCTGAAACTTGGGATGACTGACAGTACAACTGGACAGGACTTTTTCACATCTACCCCTGAGCAAAGGACTGCATGAGACTGTTACTGTCAAATGAGCAGTCTTGGAATTACAGGGTAGATAGATAGTCATAAATAAAATGGGTCAGTGCCCCTTCCTTAGTCCTGTTGACCAAGTGGCATGGTTCAGCTTGCATCCTTATGGCTACTCTTTCTCCCCTGAAAGAAGGTGGCATCATGATTCAGTCTATTGGGAACAGTCCTTGCCATGTGCTGTCCATTGAATTGTGCATTTTTTGGGAGAAGGGTAGCAGGGACAAGCCACAGCCATGTCAGAGATGATGTGGACAATCATGGGACAGCGACTGAGTCCTGTTTTGTTTACCAGTATAGCTGTAGTCATAGTGCTTGGAGATACCTGCCTTAGGAACAATTGCCCATCCTCTTGAGGAGAAAAAAAGAAGGGAGGGAGCTGGTCTTTGTCTTCTCTACCAGTTTATGTGTGTGTACCTGCCTACAAGATGCACAGAAGCATTTGGTACTATGGCTGGACTATTTAGACTGTCTTAGTGGAATAGGGGAAAAACATCAGGGACAACATCCTTTTCCCCTCCCCACTCACCTTCTCTGAGATAGGAGGAAGCAGCAATAACGAACCAGTTTTCTCAGGTCTTCTGGGATGACAGACCTTGGAGAACTGCATAGGGTTCACACTAGGGGAAGAATCTCCCTACAGTCTGTATATGTCCCAGGTTACTATCAGCCCATACTGTTTCAGGACAAGACAGAAATTAGATGAGCCCTAACAGTGTTGTCAGTTATGGAGCTTTCTCTTAAGGGGGAGTTCCATTAGTTTAACTGAAGCTACTCACTGGAGTAAAATGAGCTGTAAGTAAACTGCTGGTAATTTTTAATTCCATAGGTTATGTTCACAGATACTAAAATTCTGTTATGGTATATCCAATATGAAAAGCTTCAGAGGATAGTTGTTAGAGTTTTATTAAGCCATTAGCTGGTGATTAAATTTTAGTTTCATGATTTAAGATAAAGACTAATTGAAAAGGTTTTGGAAAGGTGTTTTCATTTCCTTCTTCAGGATTTCTTCCGGCACTTACCTCATTGGATCCAGCAGCACACAGCCATGAATGATGCTGGTAATTTTCTGATTGAAACATGTGATGAGACCATTTCCAGAGACCTTAAACAGCAGCTTCTGTTACTGAATGGAAGATGGAGAGAATTGTTTATGCAAGTTAAGCAGGTTTGTGTTTCTGCTGTTGTTACTTTTAAATATTTACTTTGTTGTTTTCATGCGAGCAAGACAGATTTGCCCCACTAGCAGGACTATAGGACAATGTACTGAAGTGCCTACCTGTTCATCACTATATTAGAAATGACTCTCTGATAGCAGTTTATTTTATTGGTGCTTTTCCTTTGTTTATCTTTTTGGTTATAAAGCTTTTTATTTTTGGACATCTTCAGCTGGTATAAGCTGTAGTTTTTCTTTATGGTCTCCTGGCTTCATACAGTAAATATTACTTATGCATATCCTCTAGTGTTCTTCGAAGAAAATGATTGGTTTTAAGTAGCTATTGTTATTGTAAAAGCTCTGTAAAACTAAACAGTGAAAATGGTTAAGGTGAATATTTTTACAACTCTTTAATGAAAGTTGCATTCAGTTATTGTACTGCAACCATAAGCACGTACAATGCAAGTTAACTAAATGTTTTCCCCAAATCGGTCAGACATTACTTCTATTTTGTGTACAAGGAGGCACTAACAGTAAATGAAAAAACTACCCTTTGTCTCATGGAAGAGATATAACTGATTGGAAAAGAATTGTTTTTTCTACATTTGCTCTTTAAAAAGCAAAGAGAAGATATGAGCTAAATTACACAGAAGTATTTCACACCTCATAAACACATAAGAAAATATCTTTGCTGTAGTCAATATACATATAATGGTATTTTCCCCTTGCAGTGATTTTAAATAGCAGTTGCCTATTTGAAGATGCTGAATCTATTTTCTTTACTGGCAAGATTATTTCCATTGCAGTCAAGTTAAATGGAAAAGCAAATAATGATTGCCCCCTTTTTATTGTAACTTTTCCAAACCATTGAGTAGAATATTCTCAAGCTTTATTTGCTGATGATATTTAGGGTGATTCACTGTGGAAACACTAATGCCAGGATGTAAATGTCTCTTCCCCTAGTTAGGCAGCTTCTTTCATGTGCTGGCTATATAACTTTTCACCATTTCTGTCATGCAGCTCTTTCCAATTTCTAAGACCTGTGTTTCCCCTTTCTCCAGCCAGCAGTTGTTTTACTGAAATTTCCCTTATCCTTCAGCTTTTCTAGGTTTTTTGTGCTCTATCCTCTTTGCTGAATTTCCAAAATCTCATTACTGCAGGTAATGAGAAATTAATTGAGAAGCTGATTCTAGGTTAGAAACAAATGAGAGTCTGGTGTTCTCCAAATTATCCAAACCTTAAAAAAGGCTTTCTTGTATGAATGTTGTTCTTTTTAGTATCAGCACAATTGAAACTAATGCAGATGATTAGCATCTAACTAATTTAGAAGATTAGTTTTCATTATTTTGTATTTTGTTTAATACAAAATTTCCAGAAAACAGTTGCACTGAAAACATGCTAATTCTCTTAAGTCATTACTTAATTGCCAGATAACTCATTTGGGGTGGGGTTTTTTTGTTTGTTTCTTTTTGCTTTACATTTTCTTAGTATGCTCGAGCAGATGAACTGGACAAAATGAGGAAGGAATACTTGGATGGTGTTGCCCATTTGACAGCTTTTATCGATGGAAGCAATAGGAAATTTTCAGTCCCTGTAGAAGTATCCTTCCTTGATGTCAAAATGTTTGTACAAGATTTAGAAGTAAGTGTCTTCCTTCCATCCCTTTCCTTCTCCTTCATAAGAGATAAACTTGTAACTATTTAAATATGAGAGCATAAAAGTATTTTAGTATACGTTTCCATTATTACTATTTTTTTATCAGTGGTGCTTTTTTGTATAATTTCTGCTATAGCTAATATAAATCACTGTGTTCTATCAGTGACATTTCTAGAGCACATTTCCGACTGGATATTTCTTTCTGTGTAGTTTCAAATCACATTCACATGAGCTGACTGATACCCTCTGACACAGCTTTCATGCATTTGAAATATGATCCAGTATTCACTAAAATCAGTGATGAAAACAATTGATAATTGGAATATGTATCTTTTGCCTCTTGAGAGCAGACTTGTATCGAATGCATAAATGCTGTTGTTGAAGTATTTTTTTGAAACATTTGTTTCAGAATATTAAGCAGAAGTTGCCTGCAATGGAAGCTCAATACAAAACGGTTACAAGAACAGCGCAACTTGTTACAAAAGAAGTTTCCCAAGAAGAGGTGAATGAAATGCTTGGAACGTTGACAAGGATCAAAGAGCAGCTGAGCAAGGTTGTAGAATACTTTTTCTACTCCACATGTTGTTGACTGTTGAACTAATAAATAGTAAGCTCCCCTACATAAATGCTCAGATATATGCATTTGAGCAAATATATAGCTATAGTAACAACAGATTGATACAGGGTGGAGAAAATGTTGCTTCTTTTAGACTTTACCATCCTTAAATTTAGCATTCTTTTCTTTAAGAAGTAATACAGGATCAGGATTGTTCTATCTTGAAAGAGGCAGGTAGCAACTATATAAACCCACATGCAGAGGAAGCTGCTATTTGTTGAATTTTACAAGTTTTTTGATTTTTTGTTTTGTTTCATTTTGTTTTTAAATGTCCAAAAGGTTAAGGAGTATTCCTGTGCCCTGCTGTATGAATGCCAGCATCTTCTGTCTCCACTGGAAGAACTGGAGAAACAAATCACACATTTTTATGAATCTCTTGAAAAAGTCAATGAAATCATTTCTATCCTGGATCCTGAAGCACAACCTACAACTGTTCTTAAACAAAAAGCCCAAGTAAGTTTCAAAAACATCTTACAAAGATCTGCTGCCTTTGAGTATTTAGAATTAGCTTTCTAGGATCGGTAAGCTGAGCAAATGTTGCCTCATGTTCAAACAACGAACATAACCTATCCCTAAGGTCAGCTAGGCATACACGAAGACTGAAACCTGTGTTCCCTCCTAGTGCCCACGGTTTCAATCCAAGAAGTAAATATTTTTTTTTTTTTTTTTTTTTCTAGGGGAAATTGGATTGCAGTATAAGAAATACATTGGATTTTTTATTAGGCAGATGAAATAACATGATCAGGAACTTCCCTGGGTTTTCTTGGACAATTATGGAAGTTTCTTAGAAGTCTGGAAGTGGTTTCTTTGAAGTGCATTGTAATAGAATATTAACTTTTCTACCTGACCAATAAACATTTCATTCTGGAGGAATTCATACTAGTCAGAACTCACTTGGAAAGGTAAATGAAAATATGAGGATCTTGCATAGGAATTGGCATTTATCCTTTTGTGTGTGTGGTATATAGCCTAGAAATAGTCCCTCAAAATTGATGTACACATTTCATTAGAGTCAGATTTGACAGGTAATATGGTTAAATGGATTTTTTATGGAAAGCTGAAGTCTTTCAAAGCCATTTAGAGTCCCTTGAGAAAAACAACAACAATAAAAAAACAAAAACAAAACCCCACACAAAAACCCCACCCCCCCAGAAAACAGAAATTTAATTTTGTGTCTGTGTGTTTGTGTGTGTGTGTATATATATACATATTAGTTCAAGCATATAATGACTCTGGGAAGTAGCCCAATAATTGAAAAAGAAGTTGGCTTCTCTTCCATTGACTTCAAGCTTTGCATTGCAGTAAAAAAATGATTTGGTGAGCTTGAATCATGCCAGTCCATTTATCTCCCTAAGTAAATCCTCTTATATTTATGAACACCGTCTGAGTCATGTGTCCAACCTGTAGGCTAAGGACCAGCTCATGAGAGTGCTCCTTTCCTCTCTTGACGGTTAACCTGCCCCAGAATGTCACAATAAAAAGACATGTTTCTCCTGCAGTTGTTTGCCAACCAAGGAACCAAAATCTCCTCAGTTATATGGAGGGGTTTCTCCTGATTAGAGAGTAGACAGATTTGTGCTAAGGAATGCAGTGTTCCTTCAACAGCAGAACAGTTTCCTCACCACAGGTTTTTTAAAACCTTTTTTTCACCCTATGCAACTTCTTGCATGTTTCCTTTCCTTTCTTTTTTAGTATTTGAAGCCATTTGTGATGAAATCTGAATTCCAGTTGCTGAGATGAAAGGTTAATTTGTTGAAAGGCAAGAAAGGTTAACATCTCAACCTGCTACTGAGAGTAGTCATTCTTATGTCTATTGTTTTCACTGCTGCCTACTTACATTTGTACAATAAACTTAGACATCCCATAAAATTAAATCTCAGAATAATGTGTTCTCTAAAACTACCTGAAAGGCTTGGGTACATGTCTGTGTTTTTTTTTTTTTTTTTTTTTTTTTCTTTCTAGATAGCTAGAGCTCTGTTTGGGTACAGGACTCTGCATACAAGGAGAAGGTTGTGTGGTCTGTGTTATTATAACATTTTGTGTAGTTGGTTTGTCATGGTGCTTTGACCTCGTCCCTTTTGTTCTTATTGTAAAAAAATATCTTCCTGTTATTTTGCCAAACTTTTCTCTCCTTTGTTCCTGGCCAGGGTGGATATATGTTTTTTTCTTTCAGGATTTGGTAGCTTATCAAGAAAACTGCAAGAAAGATTTGTCCCTGATTGAGAGAAATAGTCAGAGTATCCTGCAGTGTGTGGCTTCGAGTGAAGTGTTACAGCATTTCCATCAGTCAACATTTCAGAAGAAAGTTACACAAGTTCAGATTACTTTTCAGGTAATTGTCATACCTTAGTACATATATTTGAAAGCTTGTTCATATGCAGCCAATCCATCCTACTTTACCTCCCTTTCATCATTCTGTAGGCTACTGTCATAGAGAGCTCTCCTCTCTGGTGTCAAGTTATTGATTAAGGATTTGTCTGTACTAGGGAATAAGTGGTCAGGGGACTGATGGTCATGTTCTCCATGCAGTAATCCCAGGTGAACCTGCCTCAGAGGAACCCAGGATTTAAGGAGAACTTTCACACATCTTGGGCTCCTTTGACACAAGGAGCCTGAAATCCACCTGTTAGGACTGCACTGTTTTTTGTTTCTCCTGAATTTGTTATCATCTGGGCTAATTGTTTGCTCCTATATTCCCACACATCTCCTTTCACACAAAGCATGGAAGACACAAACTTTTGCAAATGCCACGGTTGCTGGGCTTGGTATTCCTTCAGAAAATGTAGTGGATTATTAATATAGAAAGTTGCAAATATGTATTTGCATTTGTTGATGTAAAGATGTGTACTTTGGGCTATAATCCACCTTAACTGGAGAGCTCTATGTTGTTATTAGCCATATTGATATTTTCAGGGCTATTCAGCCCCAGCCTAGCCCCACTCTGGCATGAAATTAACCATTATATTGGAGTCAGATCTCCAGATGTTGGGTTCTATCAGATTTGTTTTCAGGCAATTAGTGTACAGTATAAAGCTACCTAAACTGAATTTTAAGCTACAGAAAATCCTTTATCAGTAAAGAGCTGTCTCTGAGAGGTGGATTTCAAAATTTATATTGCATTTTGTGGGTTGTACTTAAAGATCAGTGGGGTTTTATTTACAGTTTAGAAATAATTATTTAAGTTTAGCTTAAAGTGATAGAAGCAGATACAGTCATGGCTTGGTAAATTGACCATGTTGAGGGTTAATTATTTTGTTTCTCTAAAGATGGATGGTGATTTATCTCTTTTCATGTTAGAAAATAAACCTATAAAACATGACATAACCATACAAAATGTGGCATACCTAGAGTTAAAATATTTATGGATGTGGAAACTGGCATTTTCTCATGTAAAGAATACATTACTATATGATTCTACTATTATATACAATTTTTTATCACGAAGCTTTAAGAAGGCTTATCAAGATGTTTTAAGTTGAGAACTACAGATTTGATTAGCTAACTGGGTAGAATCATTACAATTTCTTACACTGGCACTTGTAATCAGTGAGGATGGTAAAGTGTATGGTTAGTAAGCAGTGTTGGAATTGCCTTGCTGCAGTTAACTGGTTAACCTGTTTGTTGTGGTAAATTTTGTTACTTGCTTATAGAACTGTAACCACTGGATGATGCAGTGCACTGGGACAGACTACAAAGCATAATAATGAAGAGCTGTGACTAAGGTTTCAAAACAACAGGATTTCAGGGCAGCAACTAAACCACAAATTTGCTGTCTTTCTTTCAAGTGGCTTTCTACCTGGTTGCTTACCTGGCCTAGTAGTATGATAATCATCCAAACCTCCTCCAGGTCAGAAGACTTGTTGGATCCATAGATCAAACCACCTTCACATAGAGTCATGTAGGAGGAGGTAGTCTGCTCCTAGAAAAAATGGAATGGCGAGCTTTTAGCCATACCAGGTGCTTCACATTTGAAAGCAGGCTTTAGGAAAGAAACACTAGCCAAATGTCAGAAGCATTCTGAATGTATCAGGGAAATCTGTATTGGATAGCCACCCATTTTTATTTGAATGAAGGATGGCATTAGCACGAGCCTTAATGTAAGTATTAAAAATTGGGAAAATGGGAGCATGAAAGGGAGAAGAACTTGCAAATGGCATATATTTGAAAGAGTGACACCAATCAAATGCATTTTTTGTAAAATCGTGTTAAAAGAGAGCAAATAAAAGTCAGTGAGAAAGTGCAAGCTCATTTTTTTTGCTTATAACTCAGAATATGGTCAGGAAAGCTGGTGACTGGAGAAAAAACATAGAAGCAAATAGTCGTTTGATGAAGAAATTTGAGGAGTCTAGAGCAGAACTGGAGAAAGTAATACAGATTGCCAATTGTTGCCTAAAAGAAAAAGGAAATCCTGAAGAACTTCTCAGGAAACATAGCGTGAGTAAATTGTCTGACCTTTCTTACGGAAATCTTTGAGTGCATGACATACAAGTGATAAACCTACTTAATTTTAAAATTGATGTGGATTTCTTTCGCATATAGAAGTTATACAGATCAGGTGAAACTAATGTTAAGATTGAAAAACAAGAAGGAAAAAAGATCACCCCTCTTATTGATAAATGTAAGCAACCAGAAGTGAAGAGAGAAAACTCCCTAGAAACTAGGGTCAGGTTTTACCCCCCCCATTGGGGGTGAGGACACTACATTTTGCCAGTCTCATGCATCCACTGTTTTTCTTTCAGATTAATGTCTGTGTTTGTGTTGTAACCATTAATTATGCATGTAGCTCTAAAATGTATTTGTGTTAAAATATCATCTCAGTGTACTGGCTGAGAATAAATTAATTTGGTGGACTTTAAATGGCTAGAAATAGTTCTTTCCTTAGCTCAGAGTTCAATTTTCAGTCCAGCAGACACAACCTTGAAACTTACAGAGTGTGTTAGGGAACTGCATGTTGGTAGGTTACCATATCAATAACCAGCTTTGTCTTCTCACCTTCTCACTTTCTGCCTCAACTTCAGGAATTCTTTAACCAGTTGGATCAGAGAGTCCTAAATGCCTTTCTGAAAGCATGTGATGAACTTACTGACATCCTGCCTGAACAAGAGCAACACAACCTGCAGGAAGCTGTGAGAAAACTCCATAGGCAGTGGAAGGTTAGTGACATTGAATGATGTCTCTGGAAATTTTAAGTCTTAATTTTGGAATGTTTCTGCATGGCCTATATGTTGAAAAAAATTAAGACAAGAAATAAAAAAAGAATTTTATTATTTGGCTTCCTGTATAATTGGGAAAAAATGTATTTTACAACATCAGATACAGTTACACCTACAAATACCCTCCTGAAAAAGCCCTGTTAAGTGGTCAAAAGTAATGTGAGAAATTATGAAACCTTAATTGCTCCCCCTACATACAGACATAATGATACCTGTGTTAAGAATGTCTGTTGAGAATAAGTGCTAGCTTTTCTTGCTTTATGCTGATGTTGGATTATTGCAGTTACCTTCCCAACCTTAATAAAACAAATTTGTAAGAGATCAGGCTATCAGTTTAAATTGTGTCTTCTGCCAAAGGCTCTAACAACTGAATCAGCATTGCTCATAAGCTACGGAATTTTTTTGTCTGCTATAGCATGTTGCAGGTCAAAGCTGGAGTGATGGATGAGTGGTATCTCACTACCATGCAGACAAGAACCTCTGGAAGCAGTTGCCAATATAGTTTCACTATTATTGTTTGCTTTATTATTTTATACAGGAAATATTTGGTACATCTTGCCAAGAATCAAGATATCTCTTTAATGTGCCTTATATGTATATATTCTGGTCCCCAAAAACTTATGACCTTGTGATATATCTAAGACATATTTGTAACAGAGTTGCTTTATTTACTTAAATAAATATGGAGAATATTGGACATCTGTTCATGCATATATATGCTGTATTTTTATATAAGCAGTTTTTAGATAATTTATCTGTAGTAACTTCACAATGAGGTAATCAGAGTAGTGTTTTATCTCTGTGCTTGTGTATCTCCTCTGTGGGTGTATAGGATCTTCAAACAGAAGCCCCATATCATTTGATTCACTTGAAGATAGAAGTACAGAAAAGCAAATTCCTGGCCACAGTGGAGGAGTGCAAAGCCGAACTAGCTCGACAGAACAAGGTGTTATCAAGAGAAGACAATGAAAGGATGATCAAAGAACACATGGTATGAATTATATGCCACCACGTGGGCATTTACAGAAATACATTTCAAAGTCAATAATAAACAGTAGGTCTGACCAACTCTAAAGCCACCGAACACTCTGTATACAACTAAATCAGATCAATCCTTGGGGTCTTTAACAAAAATTTTGATTTGAGCTTAGTGTGGTTTATAACAAATATACAGATATGCTTTGTGATTTCTGCCTATTTGTATTTTTATTGAATTTTCTGCTTTGTCTCCCATCAGTTGTTCTTCGGTGACAAGGGACCTTACCAGCTGTGCGAGAAAAGGCTACAACGGATTGAAGAACTGTGCCAAAAACTGCCAGTTTCTGATCCAGTGAGGGCTACATTGGAAAGTAGCCAACGAATCCTGAAGGACCTCAAATCGCAGATAGACAACACATACGTAAAGCTAAAAGAGCACTCGGACACCTGGAAGGGCTATAAGAACAGGTGTCAGCTCAATTGCTAGCTGGGTCTCATAGAGCTTTATGTGTATGTGTAGTCACTCCTCTACATGTCATCGATCAGTACCATGAAAAGAATGGTACTGTGTGGCTAGCTTCAAGTAGAAAACTATGCAGTAATTCCACAAATTATAGTGGGGTTTTGAATGGATTTTATAATTTTTGGCTTAAATTTAAGAGGTTACCATTTGGTAGTGGCAATTTTTGTCTAACTTTTTTCCTTGCTATGCATTATGTGATGTTTTATTTCAGATTTTCTGAATTGACAAATTGGATTTCAACAACAGAAAGAGAGTTAAAGAAGATAAAGGAAAGTGTCAATGATACTGCCAAATACAAGCAATGTAAAGCATCCGTGGGGGTGAGCCCTTGGCTTATATTCTAACAAAGATACAGTCATTGCTACTGGGACTCTGGATAAAACTGTATTCTAAAGTAGTGCAACTGTTTTACTATGGAGACCATAGTAGCTCTGCTGATTCCTGGTATTCTTATAAACATTTCCAGGAAAATGTTCCACATGCAGCAAAGTGTGGCAGCAGTTCCTACTTTTAATAATTTAGAGAATGGCAGGTCCCTTTGCCTGTATATTCAGAATATCCAAAATACAGAAGCACATAGAATAAATACTTGCCCCTCATCCTGCTGTGTACACAGTTAAAAGTGATGTGCAAAGAAAAGCCGAAATTTCTGGACTGGGCGTTTTTGAAGGATCAAGTTACTGTCTTACACTTAGGGAAATCTTCTGTGATAAAAATTCTCTTCTACAGTCGTATAAGAGGAAAGGCAGATATTCTACCATTCACTTTTGCATTGGTGACTGGTAAAAGATGTGGTAGAATAGCTGAAGGTTGAGTTGTTTGCTTAAAGCAGTTTTAGGCAATAATTTTTTCTGTCACTTGCGACCTAGTTTGACCCTTCTTTCTTTTTTGTATTTCTCATGTTAGGAGTAAAAATAGGAATGTCACATACTGTAGGAGTTTGTGTGAAAGTCATGAGGAGGTTATGAGGCTAACTGTGCAGAGAAACTTAATTAAGATGACCTTGGTAAAGCAGGTAGACTGTTAGCTTTAATGGGTGCTTCTGCTGCAAAAAGTCTGATTTACTTGTGCAGTTTTACTGCTGGCAACTTCTCATCAGCACTTGCACAAAGATGTAGACAAACTACTGGGTGAAAAGAGGGGAAAAAAGAGCTATTTAAATAGGAAAAAAATACACAATACCTTATATAACATGAAAATTCATGTTTAGGAAAGTCAGCATTTAAGAGCTGAATGGTAACTAAGAGATTTTGTCAATATCTCTATATATCTATCTGTAGGTAAAAATGTTAGTTTATGAGGAAAAAGTACTTCCACTACTACCCATGGAAAAAAACATTCTAATAACTAGTAGTGGAGTAATGACTAGAGGAAATGCAAAAATCTAGCCATTGACTGGAACAGAATCAGGCAGGGTATGCAAATAGAAAAATACTACATTTCTAATATTTCAAAGATAGTATGGTTACACTACTAATTTTTGAACTGATGCCATGAATGTCACTCATTCATATATATTTTGTTTATTTGAAGAAAATACATTTTGATTCTTTCATAGGAAATTAGGAAGCATATTAACAAGCAAGGAGAAAATCACAGTTGGCTGAAATCTAGACTTGCTGTTTTGACCGCAGTATGTCCTGATTTGGAGGCCAGAAAGACAGAGGATGAGCTTTGTAAACTTTCCAGTGACTTCAAGGGACTCCTAGATTTGCTGGCTGAGGTACAGTATGAGCGGCACAAGAACTCTCCATTTACAGTGTCACATGAAATTACATCAATCATGGCTTCACAAGCATAAGTTCCCTGCTGTGTTTTTTTAATTAAACTGCAAGCATTCAGCAACGAAAAACTCATTTGTACTCCCTGGGTAGCAAAGTCTTGAGAGTAGCAGGCAAAAAATACTGACATTATTATAATGAATCTTTTCTCTTTGCAGGTTTGGAAAGCATCATAGTATTTTTAGAGGCAAAAGACAGTTTTCTAAAATCAGCTCTTAGTAAGCATTGGCAAAACCATCATGTGCATTAGCTAGTGGATATAAAATTTGACTTTAATCTTCATTTGTGTAGTTTTTATGCTGAAGTAATAAAGGAACTACTGTGAGGAGGTTTCAGATCATTAAGGATGTCTACCATGCACTAAATTCGCAGGAAAAGGCTGCAGTTCTCTGCAGTCTGAATGATAATGGGATACTGTAACTGCTGAAATCATGGGAAGTTTCTAACTGATAAGCAAAACTTCTTAGCATCCACTGAACCCTTGAGTTCTGTGAGATCTCAGGGAACTTGCAGCTTCACAGTTTTCACAGTAAAAAGAAAGATCAGGAGAAAGTTAGAACATCTTACACTTAGAACGCTGAACAGATCCATTTGAAAAAACAGTTCAGGATAAAGAAAGAGTTCAGGCTTCAAATTTCATTGTTAATGTCAATTCTTGTGGAAGCCTTGTAGGTATTCCAAGTGTATAAAAGTTCTGTGTATTTATTGAAACTCCTCTAAACTTCTGTAGTGTGAAAACTGTGTTTGGAATGTTAGGGGAACCAATGTTCTGATTTCCAAGTGACTGCAAAAAAGATAATTTTTTTTAAATATTATTTTGTTTTAAAGTACTTTTGCTTTTTGTTTCCTCCAAAAGTCAGAACTGAGGGGAGCACAGGTTCATGAAGGTCGAAAAAGAAAATAAGAACTGGAATCTAAACTTGGTTTGAATCTAAAAGCATAATCTAAATGGCATTTTCCTCTATGGTTAAGAGACTGCTGATCTTAAAAGTCTGAATATTCTTTACAGCTAAATTTACAGCTTGTTAATCAGGTGGGTGAGACTGTTTAGACAAGGAATAATACTGGGTATTTGCAGAGTTCAGCAATGTTTTTAGAGAGTAAAGACTAAACATTTAAATAACAGGAAAGAGAATGGCTTGAATCTGAATTACCCTCTGAAGTGAATATGGACTGGAAAGGAAGAAAGGACAGGGAGGAAGAAAGGAGTTTCTTAGTTCTAGAATGCTTCATGGTTAAAACCTTAAAGCACAGGAACTGTCTGAGGAACAGAGCCAGTACTGAGAATTGGCTACAAGTAGTTAGCTGAATCATGCAAAAAGGGAAGAACTTTCTGATATGTTGACTAGATATATCTTTTTCTTTACAAAATTCTGCAAATTGAGACAGGATATTGCACCACAGGCATATTGTGGTCCATGAAACCAGGGTAACAGGTCATTTTAATACATTTGTGATTCACCAGTGCATTGTCTAAATGAGACAAAGGTCTCCTTGGTCACGTTTTAAGTCTGTAATCACTCTTTCAATGTAACATTAAAGGTGTCTGTTAAGGATGCTGGAAACAAATATGGTTTGAATTTAGACAATTCACTATATTTTTTGAAAAAATATTCCAAATATAAATGTGCCCTTAAAATATAGATGTGCCTTTCAACATGAAATACTTAAAGTTATCCATAATTGTAGATTGAAAAGACATTAGGCACTGTTGGAGACTGTGTCCAGTACAAAGAAGAAGTTAAAAGTGCAATTGAAGACTTAATCAACAACTCTAAAGAAGCCCAAGCAGAGGCTGAAAAGATCCTGGATACAGAGAGTTTATTACAAGCTCAGCAACTACTACTTTATCACCAGGTAGGGCAATTTCTCATGTCCATATTTGATTTTTTTTTTTTAAGGTAGAAAGTATGTAATTACTAAATTTTGTTATGTTCATTAGTGTAAGTCCTTACATTTAAACTTGAAAGAGTTATAAAGGAAATTGTGTCATATGGCCTAGTATTGGTTTCTTATAATGAAAAAAGTGCTCAATATTTTTTAAATACTAATGCCCAAAGATGAGCTTGTTTTTCAACTTTTATTGAATATCCTTTTATTTCACATGGGGTTTTGGGGCAGAGAACACCTGAAAAACAGGCTTCATTTACTTGAAATTTTGGGTAAGTTTTCTCTGCAAATATGTAGTGTCTCTCTCTTTTTACCTTTTTAAAGTTTGCGTGTCAGATTTGATCATGGTAAATTTGGCCTGATCCTGGTTTTGGAAATTTCTTGACTTCAGCAGCTTTGATGTGGCCCCAACTCTAAATGCTGGAGGGGAGGCGTACCTCTAGCCTCATCTAGTCCTCTAGGTAGTTACTGCAGTGACAGACTGGCCTCCAGTCTGTATGAGAAGAACAGGAGGCTTTTTAGGCACTGATAAAAGATCAAAACATCTGTGGACTACAGTAATAATGAATCATATGGGTTGCATATGGCACGAATCGTGGGGTTTAAGGCCAAATATTGGAAATTAACTTTGAGGCATACTCAAAGCTAATAAAAATAAGAACAATTTACTGTAAATGTTTGGGCGTTATGTAAGTGGCTTATATTAACATCTATTTCTGTAAGGTCAGACATGTCTTATTGTCTGACCAGGCACTATCATGTCTTACTTCCGTCTTGTCTAAACTCTTTGGTGTTTGTAAAAGCTATTGTATGTGTTAAAGTTCATATTTATTCTTTCAATATCCTACATTCCTTATCCATCATAGGAGAGGTAATATGAATAGTTCAGTTCTCCTTGAGTTCTCAGACTCTTCTTCTTTTGATATGGAGTCTGGTAAGGTAAAAACAGACTTAGACAAAGACCTGAAGGTACCCAGAGTAGAATTGAACAGGGATCTGTGAGCTTACGTAGCAAGGCTGGCAATGGGTCAGGCATATTAGGAAAGGAGAGGGAAGGCAGCCTTAGGATTTTCTGATAGTGCTACAAAGCAAAATGCACCAAAGAAAGAATAATACAACTTGGCTGTCCCCCTATTGCTCTGTAATGAAGGCTGATAAATTGCTTTGATCAATCTGAGGCTCCAGATCCATGCCTCAAAGAGTGCAGAGCAGACCTGGATGCTTCCAGGCAGTCATGAGGAATACATGCACCCATGGATACTGCTGCAGTTGCTCAACTGTTGGGGCTTCTGCTTTCTAAAATATTGTTTTGGACAAACAGCCATATTGTCACTCTTTCTCTCCCATTTGTATGCCACAAAAGCTGTATACACACAGATTTTGGAACCCAAGGCATAGACTTGATGAGTATATGAGACTAAGGAATACTTGCCACAGTTTATCACTTTGTCTGCTCTTCTCACTGTGTGCCCCTGCAAAAGCAGGAAGTTGTTTCATTGTGCCACTTTCCCAAAGGATCTAAAAAGTCTAATCATTCCTGTTGGATGAATCCTTTTAGCAAAGGACAAGGAGACTCTGTGCCAAGAGGCAAGATGTGCAACAGCAGATTTCCCAAGCTAAACAGTTGCAGATTGAAGGTGGACTGCCCACCACGATGCAAGAGGATTTACAAAAGTTGGAAGGAACACTGGAGAACATGCAGCAGACTATGGAGAAGCGTGAAGAGCAACTGCAGGTGGGTCCTTTGCAAGTAGAAATAAAAACCTGTGCTTTCTTCTTTTTGCTTTTTTTTTTAACTTGGTAAAAAAACAATTTTTTTAATGTGAAAAGTCTGAGCTCACTTTCTCACCTCTGAATCTTGGTCCTTGGGGTTTTCATGATCAGTACCTCCATGAAAACTTCTTGAAGCTGCTGGATACCTCTTAATTAATAAAGAAACAGCATTTTGTTCGGAAGTGTTTAAAAGTCCTAACTTTTCAGTCATAATAGATATTTTAAATAATTTATCTGTGATTTAATTTTTAAATGGGCTGTCTCCCCTGGTTACTAAAGACATCATTGTCCTTTAATTGAGAGTCTTTAGGCTGGATATTAGATTAATAACACCTGATGTTGTGCAAATATAATCCTCACAACTACTGTGTGAAATACATGCTGCTGTCCTAAATTTAAAGATGGAAGAAAAAAGTCACAGAGAAATCAAATGGATTGCTCCAGACTGTATAACTAATCACTGACTGAACTGGGATGAGAATTTATAGCTTCTTGTGCCCATATCTGAGTTGTCCTTTACATTTCTCTAAGCAGAATGGTAATCCAGCTG